GCACTGTTGAACCCGTTGTCAGGTGTGTTATGGTACTGTAAGTTTGGAGAACCTCTGTAAGCTTAATCACCTTGCTTCTCACCCTCCTTTAGTTCACCGTACTGTGCTTAACACACACCGTAACACACTCTCTCTCCTCCTCTCTCTCTCTTCTCTCTCTCTCTCTCCTCTCTCTCTCTCTCTCTCTCTCTCTCTCTCTCTCTCTCTCTCTCTCTCTCTCTCTCTCTCCCATCCACTAAGATAGAGTGTAAGCAACTATCAGACCCCATCATGCGATGTTCAACTATCTGGCCCCACCGGCAGGTTTGCCCGGCAGGTTTGCCAGGCAGGTTTGCCAGGCAGGTTTGCCCGGCAGGTTTGCCCAGCAGATTTGCCCGGCAGGTTTGCCCGGCAGGTTTTCTCATTTGAGTGAGTGATTGGTTGGTGTCCTCGGGCTTCCACTCACGCTTTGAAAGATTCACATCAGTTCCTGCGGGTTGTGGCTGGATTAGCTCAGCGAGACGCCTGCTTTCCCAGCGGAATGGGTGCTGGGTTATTATGGGAAGGGAGTGGGAGGGTGACGGTACAAGGATGGTGCTTATTGTGGGCCGCAGAGAGACAAAGGTTATAGTGAATATTTTAGCAACAGACAACCTCTCCGATAGCTATTGTTACGAGAGAGAGAGAGAGAGAGAGAGAGAGAGAGAGAGAGAGAGAGAGAGAGAGAGAGAGAGAGAGAGAGAGAGAGAGAGAGAGAGAGAGAGAGAGAGAGAGAGAGAGAGAGAGAGAGAGAGAGAGAGATATGATAGTTCCCAATGTGTTAGTTTCAAAGTATACTCTTATGTAAGAAATGAGTTTCTAGGTGTAGGCTTCAGATGAGCTGAGGTAGGATAACAGCTCTTGCTTGCAGTTTCACTAGGTATGTTATTAGGCATCCCTTATGAATCCTAGTCTTAGTTTAAAAAAAAAAAAAAAAAAAAAAAAAAAAAAAGAGAGAGAGAGAGAGAGAGAGAGAGACAGAGAGAGATTTTCCTCAGCATCTCAGTGTGGCGGTTCAGAGGGGGAATGCCCTCTAGATATATATTTCCTATTAATCTTCACATTTTGTAACCAATCAGCTATATAACTCCATAACTTTGTATACTATTGTAATAACGTAACAAAGGGGGTGGTAAGAGAAGCAAATATTTGTACGTATTTACAACGACAAGTTTGTATCTGAATGCTCTTTATTCTCTTCTCCGAGACTCTGGGTCCCCAGAGGTTGGTAATATTAAACGAAACTTTATCCATTATTGGATTTTTTTTTTATTTTGTCTGGATAAGTATAGAATATTTGTATTTTTGGCTCTCCAGTTATGGCAGGAGGGGGGGGGTGTTACCCTGGTTGTGTTACCCTGGTTGTGCCTGCAGGGACGAACCTCAGCTCTTCAGCCCCGCTTTTCGACCAGAATTTATTCAATCCAGTGACTCAATTCACTCGTTTTTCTTTATTGTAGACAGGGAAAGAAAAAGTTTGTGTGCGTGTGTGTGCGTGTGTGTGTGCGTGCGTGTGTGTGTGTGTGTGTGTGTGTGTGTGTGTGTGTGTGTGTGTGTGTGTGTGTGTGTGTGTGTGTGTGTGTGTGTGTGTGTGTGTGTGCGTGTGAGAGTGTCGCACAGCCTAGTAACACCTCTCCCACACTCTCCCAGACGGGCTGTTCCACGCCCTGGAGATCTTGGACACAGCCGGCTCCCACCACTTCCCAGCCATGAGAGAACTCTCCATCCGGTCGGGCCGGGCCTTCGTCATCGTCTTCGCTGTCAACAACGAGCAGAGCTTCTACGAGGCTCAGTCTCTCTGGAACCTCATCACCAAAATCAAAGGTACGCCCGGGCCTCACTCCCCAAGCAGTTGCTATAGACCTATGGACCAAATTCTTAGTTTCAAGCGCGGGTTTGCCTCGTGTCGGTGAGGACAGACAGGTGTGTGTACTGAGTGACAGGTGTTGTGTTGGCAGGTTTGGAGGGGGCGCCGGTGGTGGTGGTGGGGAACAAGGTGGACCTCGACAGAGAGCGAGTGGTCAGCTTCCAGCGGGCCCAGACGTGGGTGGATACGGATATGACCAACGCCTCGTACTTGGAGACGTCCGCCAAGTATAATATCAACGTTGGAGAGCTTTTCAAGCAGTTGCTCATACGGACTTACGGCCTCGCTAACAACGAGATGGTGAGTACCAACGACCCGTTTCTCCTGTCTACCTCCACACGGGTCTCTAATCATCGTTCTCTTCCACTAACTACTTCAGCCTCATACATGTTTTCAACACGTTATTAAACAGCGTTGAAATAATTTTTCCACAGTTTTCAATTATTAATCAATTGTGATCAACTTTTCAACTGAAAATGTTCTCATTAATCTTTTATTTTTTGCTGTAAACTTTTTTATTTTTTTTTTTTTTTGCTAAAAACAAATTAAACTTTTTTTTTTAATATTGAGTCTGAGTGAGAGAATGAGAATTTATCATCAGGTTCCCAGAAAATCACGACAGGATGTATCTAGGAGAAAATCTTGTTTGGAGCAGGGCCGTGGGATCGAACCTGCGTGCTAAGGCAAACCAGAAGCCAACTTTACCAGTGGACCAGTGCTACGCCCGTAGTTTGAGTGGAGTGATTGGGCTTGTGCTATTATAAATCGGTACACTAATCGGTACAACGATGGACTCACATCTTCCACGGACAGCGTTCGATCCCTTAAGGTCCAAGTGGTTTTTACCTCTCCTTGACTATATAGACCTCCTGACCTGCTCTCTCACTCCCAATGTCTCTCAAGGTCCACGCTCACTCTCCATTCTTTTTCTCTCTCTCTCTCTCTCTCTCTCTCTCTCTCTCTCTCTCTCTCTCCTCTCTCTCTCTCTCTCTCTCTCTCTCTCTCTCTCTCTCTCTCTCTCTCTCTCTCTCTCTCTCTCTCGCTCTCTCTCGCTCTCTCTCTCTCTCTCTCTCTCTCTCTCTCTCTCTCTCTCTCTCTCTCTCTCTCTCTCTCTCTCTCGCTCTCTCTCTCTCTCTCTCTCTCTCTCTCTCTCTCTCCTCTCTCTCTCTCTCTCTCTCTCTCTCTCTCTCTCTCTCTCACTTCACTTTCATCTCCCGTTGACAGCTCTGCCCTGAGAGTTGTTCGTGTGGATGATGGCGCTGACTTGGCTGTGATTCCCATTGTTCCGGCATGGCTTTGTGTCTCTGAGAGAGATGTGTTATAACAGTCTTTCTTGCAGGCATTGTGGGAAGCGAGTGATGCTTGGCTGACTGCAGCATCCAGCATCATCACTCATCTTCCCTGCCCAGCTGACACCTGCCTCACCTTCACTCATCTTCACTAGCTACTCATCTACCTCATCTCGACTCATGTTGACGCAATGCGTATTTACATGAATGGAAGATTAAAATAAGTTGTACCGCTTCCTCAGGCGCCGACGGGAGCGAGAGGGCGGCTCAAGTCCTTAGGGAACATTATGGAGGTGGTGAGGCGACGGTCCTTCAGCTTGGCTCAAGCTGCCTCCTGCAGCGCCATCCCCGATCACCCGGACATCCGCGACCAGAAGTGTGCCATCCTGTAAGCGGCCTCCGGTAGCCTGGTGGAAGGCTCCAGGGACCTGCGATTTTAAGTGTGTCATCCTGTAAGCGGCCTCCAGCGGTCTGTTGGAAGACTCCAGAGGCCAGCGACCTGCTGGAAGGCTTCCGAGACCTGCCAACACACGTGTCAGCCTGTAAGGGCTTCCAGTAGCCTGCTGGAAGGCTTCGGAGACCTGCCAACACACGTGTCATCCTGTACGGGCTTCCAGGAGCCTGCTGGAAGGCTTCGGAGACCTGCCAACATACGTGTCATCCTGTACGGGCTTCCAGTAGCCTGCTGGAAGGCTTCGGAGACCTGCCAACACACGTGTCAGCCTGTACGGGCTTCCAGGAGCCTGCTAGATGGCTTCCGAAACCTGCAACCACACGTGTCAGCTTGTACGGGCTTCCAGTAGCCTGCTGGAAGGCTTCGGAGGTCAGCACCTACACGTGTCATCCTGTACGGGCTTCCAGTAGCCTGCTGGAAGGCTTCGGAGGTCAGCAACCACACGTGTCATCCTGTACGGGCTTCCAGTAGCCTGCTGGAAAGCTTCAGAGACCAGCTGGTCATGTGGCGGTATTGACCGTGATCTGGTGTAACCCAGGATACAGCAGAGCCATTATCTGGTCGAGGATCGAGAGACCCAATAGCTGCTCTCATAACCTAAAAATGCAATATAGACGATCTATCGTCGTGTAGGGTAGAGGAAGCTGTTGTTCAGGAAGCCCAGGTTCGACTCTTCAAGGGTGATATATATATATATATGGTAAATTGCACATATATATATGTAAATATATTGTGACAGATGAAATGCATATTAACTATCCGCCAGGGAAAAGACATTTTAAATTATGTATTGGTAGATGTAACTCTGTCTGGACTGACTCAGAGTCCAGGTAGAGACTGTGTGGAGGTCTTAGAGCTCCCTGATGTGTGTGTGTGTGTGTGTGTGTGTGTGTGTGTGTGTGTGTGTGTGTGTGTGTGTGTGTGAGTGTGTGTGTGTATGTGTGTGTGTGTGTAGCTGGACCACCAAGATCCACACACACTCTACCCTCGTAACATGTGAGTGTGTGTGTGTGTGTGGGTCCCTTCTTGCAATACTTGAAATGCATGTTCCACGTCACCCCCTGCAACTCGCCTACCCTAGCAATACTCTCTTCCTATCTCCTTGCAGCACACACACACATACACACACACGCAACCTTCCCCCCCCCCGCCCCTTTTGCAACAAATTGGACGCAAACCTGATCTTGTATAACTACCTTAATCTCCCTCGTGCCTAATGAAGAGCAAGATGTAGGTAAGATTAATCTCTCTGTATAACTATCACACACACACACACACACACACACACAGAGGACTGCAGTGTTGTGCATGCTGAGTGATCTAATGTGCTCAAGAGTGCACATAACATGCGGTGAGTGCATTACCATAGACGCGAGTGTGTCCTGAGAGTATTAGTATATGCCGAGTGCATCCCATTGGGCTGAGTGCATTACTACGCTCAAAAGTACGGAGTGGAATAAGATTTGGCAACACTGTGTTTGTTGTTGTTCCCAAAAGCAGGTTAATTTCCACGTGATTTCAGCGTTCGAGTTTAATAAATAAATAAATTAATTAATTAATAAATATATATGTATATATACATATTTATTTCTACACAATTTGTTTTTACTTTTTTTCTAATATTAGTCAATAGAAACATTTGCACCTTATTTGCTAACACAAATATATAAATGAGCCTCACTGTTGAATCACACTATCTTTTACAATTGTGAAATTAACAGTATTAGCCTATTTTCCTATTTATGGTGACGTCACTTAACTGATTTCTCTGATTGGGGGGGGGTGACCAATTACATGTGGTTCGCCTGTCAACTGGGGAGACCTAACACTCTGTCAACTGTCAACTGGACTAGCCTCCTGAGACCCTGTGACCTGTCAGCTGTCAACTATAATAGCCTGTCACCTGTCTATTAGAATAGCCTGAGACCCTGTGACCTGTCAGCTGTCAACTATAATAGCCTGTCACCTGTCTATTAGAATAGCCTGAGACCCTGTCACCTGTCAAATAGAATAGTTTGAGACCACTGTCACCTGTCTACTGTCAACTAGTATTGACTATGACCCTGTCAGCTGTCAACTGGATTAGAGTCTTTCAGTTGGAAGTGCCTGAAATCCTGTCACCTGTCAACTGGCTTAGCCTAAGATGCTGTCAACTGGAAGAGACTGATATCCTGTCAACTGTCAACTGGAATAGACAGACCCTATCAACTGTCAACTGGAATAGACAGACCCTATCAACTGTCAACTGGAATAGCCTGCTGTCATCTAGAATAGTCTATGACCTGTCACCTGTCAATTGAGATCACCCTGTCAAATGTCAGTTGAGAGAGCCTAGAGTCATGTCAACTCACATAGCCTGAAAAAATCCTGTCAACTGTCAGTTGAGATGCCCTTAAACCCTGTCAATTGAGAGATCCAAAGACTCCTGCCAGATGTCAACTGGGAAAGGCTGAGATTCTATCATCTGTCAACTAAGAGAGTTCGAGACCCTGTCACCTGTCAACGATCATAGCCTGAGACACCCCTGTCGACTATAAAATGAGACAGTCTTGCTGCCTGTCAACTGAGAATGCCTAAGCCTTTGTCAATTACCACCTGTCATCTTCGATAACCTGAAACCCTGTCTGCTAAAAGGAACCTCTGACAACTGAGAGACAGAGAGAGAGCCTAAGTTCCTGTCGACCACGTCGGGGTGACGGGCGGAGGGCCGAAGACTGTCCACCTCAGACAGAAATAGTTCACTGCCTACAGTATCTTTCCTTCAAATGGCCTGCTCGCTCAGTGTAGCGACAATGCGGAGAGCTACACCCCACAGATGCTAACCTTAGCGCCCTGCACTCAGGTCCTGAGTTCAGCAAGGGTGTGGCCGCTGGGCGGGAATGGTCAGGGATGCCGGTTAAGACAGGTTGAATGCCAGAGACACAGGTGGGGGGGCCCCTGGGGGTGCCTCCTCTCCTGTGGTGACACCTCTCTCTCTCTCTTTCTCTCTCTCTCTCTCTCTCTCTCTCTCACTCTCTCTCTCTCTCTCTCTCTCTCTCTCTCTCTCTCTCTCTCTCTCTCTCTCTCTCTCTCTCTCTCTCTCTCTCTCTCTCTCTCTCTCTCTCTCTCTCTCTCTCTCCTAACTATAGTGTAGTAAGTATTTTTTTCAGTTTTAGAATAAGTATATTTTAGTAGCAGTCTTTCTTGCAAACATATGTTTTTGAGTATAACCGAAAGGGTAAGATTAATGATTCTAACATGAATTTTCTGAATATTTCTTAAGTTTATCTTCAGTGTCGAGGGAAGTTGAAAAATTAACTCTCCGAAGTTCATTTTTTACACGTTATTAAAATCGCATACCTGTCATCTTATGTGTATTGTATTGATGAAATTATTATTACAATTATTATTATTTACGTGGGCGTTGGACTTGGAGGTAGCCTAATGTCACCCAGCGCCCCGTACGACACTCTCAGCGCCCCGTACGACACTCTCAGCGCCCCGTACGACACTCAGCGTCTCGTACGACACTCTCGGCGCCCCGTATGACACTCTTAGCGCCCCGTACGACACTCTCAACGCCCCGTACGACACTCTCAGCGCCCCGTACGACACTCTCAGCGCCCCGTACGACACTCTCAGCGCCCCGTACGACACTCAGCGTCTCGTACGACACTCTCGGCGCCCCGTATGACACTCTTAGCGCCCCGTACGACACTCTCAACGCCCCGTACGACACTCTCAGTGCCCCGTACGACACTCTCAGCGCCCCGTACGACACTCTCAGCGCCCCGTACGACACTCTCAGTGCCCCGTACGACACTCTCAGCGCCCCGTACGACACTCTTAGTGCCCCGTACGACACTCTCGGCGCCCCGTATGACACTCTCAGTGCCCCGTACGACACTCTCAACGCCCCGTACGACACTCTCAGTGCCCCGTACGACACTCTCAGCGCCCCGTACGACACTCAGCGTCTCGTACGACACTCTCAGCTGTGCCCCGTACGACACTTTCAGTGCCCCTACGACACTCTCAACGCCCCGTATGACACTCTCAGTGCCCCGTACGACACTCTCAGTGCCCCGTACGACACTCTCAGTGCCCCGTACGACACTCTCGGCGCCCCGTACGACACTCTCAGTGCCCCGTACGACACTCTCAGTGCCCCGTACGACACTCTCAGTGCCCCGTACGACACTCTCGGCGCCCCGTACGACACTCTCAGTGCCCCGTACGACACTCTCAACGCCCCGTACGACACTCTCAGCTCCCCGTACGACACTCTCAGTGCCCCGTACGACACTCTCAGTGCCCTGTACGACACTCTCAGCGCCCCGTACGACACTCAGCGCTCCGTACGACACTCTCAGCGCCCCGTACGACACTCTCAGCTCCCCGTACGACACTTTCAGCGCCCCGTACGACACTCTCAACGCCCCGTACAACACTCTCAGCGCCCCGTACGACACTCAACGCCCCGTACGACACTCTCAGCTCCCCGTACGACACTTTCAGCGCCCCGTACGACACTTTCAGCGCCCCGTACGACACTCTCAGCTCCCCGTACGACACTTTCAGCGCCCCGTACGACACTCTCAACGCCCCGTACGACACTCTCAGCGCCCCGTACGACACTCTCAACGCCCCGTACGACACTCTCAGCTCCCCGTACGACACTTTCAGCGCCCCGTACGACACTTTCAGCGCCCCGTACGACACTCTCAGCTCCCCGTACGACACTTTCAGCGCCCCGTACGACACTCTCAGCGCCCCGTACGACACTCTCAGCTCCCCGTACGACACTTTCAGCGCCCCGTACGACACTCTCAACGCCCCGTACGACACTCTCAGCGCCCCGTACGACACTCTCAACGCCCCGTACGACACTCTCAGCTCCCCGTACGACACTTTCAGCGCCCCGTACGACACTCTCAACGCCCCGTACGACACTTTCAGCGCCCTGTACGACGCAGCGCCCCACACGCAGCCCGTCCTCGCGTACAAAGAAACCAAGCTCGTTAATCCAGCCGCCAAACCCCCTTGTTTATGAATGAAAAGCGGTTTACACTCGACTCACAACTCAACCCGTCCTCAAACCAAGTCCATTCCATCCAGCGGTCGACCCCAAAGACGCATCCATCAATTTTAACATACTGTTCATTTCAAAATAGAAACTTTTCTAAAATATAAATTAATATTAATATATATTAGCATATTGTGCATATTTAGACACTGGTTAGGTGTTTAGGTTCTGTTGGCGATTATTTGTATTTGTAGTACGTGGGTGAAGCATTTACAGCGTTGGGGTTCGAACACAAGTCGTCAGTGAAGCACTTGTTCCGGAAGTGTTCGAACGTCATCAGTTGTGAGTCGTGTGTAAACCGCTTTTTATTCATAGACAGGGGGTGTTTGGCGGCTGGATTAACGACCTTGGATCTCTGTATGCGAGGACGGGCTGGATGTGGACGGGTTGTTCGAACAGAGGTCGTCAGTGAAGCACTATTCGAGATATGTTCGAACATCGTCAGTTGTGAGTCGTGGGTAAGGGATTTGTCACTCTTAAACGAGGCATTTGTCACTCTTAAACGAGGCATTTGGCGGCCTAATTCACCAGTATTTGTCCTCGGGTGATGAGGAGGGTCTGCGTGCTAACAGTACGTTGTTTGACTAACGACCATTTGTCCAGTGTTTTGTGGTGGGTAGCGCTAACAAGGCGGACTTAACGGACTTAAACTCATAACACGGCGGACTTACAGAACTTAAACTCATAACAAGGCGGACTTAACGAACTTAAAATCTTGCCACTGAGAAACTACAGGAATTAATAACCGCCATGATTCAAAATATTTAACACACACCTGACTCCAGGCTAATGTATTCCACACACACCTGGATGGTGTATAACAATACAACAGCGGGTTTTTCCGGGCTCACCATAGCCCGTGCTACATGGACACTTCGTTCTGAGTAGTTATATCTAAAACAACAACAACAAAAGCGGGTTCCATATGCCTCCCACAGAACGTATCATCAGTGATAACAATACTGTATTATCCAAGATATCAAGATATCCACGATATCAAGATATCCAAGATATCCAAGATATCAAGCTGTCAAAATCATTTTAGTTCACGTACAATGAGAAATATATTATATCATGATGAGATATAAAGTGTTAAGAAATATTGTGATTATATAAAATCCTTCAATAAAACAGAGGAGATTTAATTACAGTATTTATCAAGAATATATTCTAGGAAAATATATATATATATTGATATCCTCAAATATTACAATTTATATATTTAAACGGAAGAGAGAGAGTAATAGCCTAATATACAAGAGTCATTTCAGAAATTTAAAAAAAACGATGGTAAGCAATGTATATTTGATTTGTGAATCATATGTTATAATTTTAGAAGTTTGTATGAATGGTGAGTAGATTAGAGTGATAGCCTGTGTCGTCTTCGTCAAGACTTGGGGACATTTGTTGAGTTTCTTGGGAGGGATTCTCTTTCTTGCCTTACGGAACTGGTATAGGGTTTGGTCTGGTCTATAAGTGTGAGGTGGTACAGGTGTGGTGTGTGGTGGTACAGGTGTGGTGTGTGGTGGTACAGGTGTGGTGTGTGGTGGTAGAGGTGTGGTGTGTGGTGGTATAGGTGTGGTGTGTGTGGTGGTACAGGTGTGGTGTGTGGTGGTAGAGGTGTGGTATGTGGTGGTACAGGTGTGGTGTGTGGTGGTATAGGTGTGGTGTGTGTGGTGGTACAGGTGTGGTGTGTGGTGGTAGAGGTGTGGTGTGTGAGGTGGTACAGGTGTGGTGTGTGGTGGTACAGGTGTGGTGGTACAGGTGTGTTGTGTGGTGGTAGTGGTGTGGTGTGTGGTGGTACAGTTGTGGTGTGTGTGGTGGTACAGGTGTGGCGGTACAGGTGTGGCGGTACAGGTGTGGTGTGTGGTGGTAGTGGTGTGGTGTGTGGTGGTACAAGTGTGGTGTGTGGTGGTACAGGTGTGGTGTGTGGTGATACAGTTGTGGTGTGTGTGGTGGTACAGGTGTGGCGGTACAGGTGTGGTGTGTGGTGGTAGTGGTGTGGTGTGTGTGGTGGTACAAGTGTGGTGTGTGGTGGTACAGGTGTGGTGTGTTGTGATACAGTTGTGGTGTGTGTGGTGGTACAGGTGTGGTGGTACAGGTGTGGCGGTACAGGTGTGGCGTGAGCCAAGCATCACAACATATTTACAACCTTAACACCCCACCCATACCCAATCCTCTGGCTCTTACAGTGCTATATTAATTGAAAACAATAGATATATATAGTCACCTCGACATTGTAAAAACCACCTTAACAATAAGTAGAGTATTATAGCCTAATACCAACAGTGATAGGAAACCAATATGGGAACCGCGTTCCTTTACGCTATCCTAATGTGCCCTCACTTGTGATACATTTTGGTTATCTTATAAAGAGAATATATTTATGGCATGCAAACCTTTCATATCACCGTGTAGGACCAATCATATATGTTTAGACCATAGAGTATACAATAGTAAACAATTTTCAGGAAAATTGCTGTAAAAAATGGATCGAACACATTTGTTGATCTGAAAATGACGATGTTTGGGATATTGACCTCATGTGTTTATAGTCTGTGTATATGTCTTTAGCTTACACGTCTGAGAGCTTGTTTTTGGGAGCAGAAGTGTGTGAGAGAACTGTAGTGTGATGGGTCCGACACTCACATATATATTCACACAATCAAAGAAATGTGATTTTTTGTTTTTCTTCTGGCCTCTCTTGCGCGGGGGGGGCGGCGCCAGATACAAGCCTCATGCTAAATGAAAATACTGTGTAGGTCATATTTAATGATTGAAATCAAAGTATAAGTTCATATATGAAGATATAGTAGTGTTCACCATAGTCTTCACCATGCATGTGTCTGGGGTAGTAACTATGGCGTCAAGGGGCCAGATTCACGAAGCAGTTACGCAAGTACTTACGAACGTGTACATCTTTCCTCAATCTTTGACGGCTTTGGTTACATTTATTAAACAGTTTACAAGCATGATAACTTGCCAATCAACTGTTGTTATTGTTATAAACAGCCTCCTGGTGCTTCGGAGCTCATTAACTGTTTAATAATTGTAAACAAAGCCGCCAAAGATTGAGAAAAGATGTACAGGTTCGTAAGTGCTTGCGTAACCGCTTCGTGAATCTGGCCCATGGTAATTACTTGGTAGAGTTTGTGGTTGGTGAAACAATACCCAGCCCTGGCTCACTGCTTGCTTCAGTCTGAGTCCACCTGCCCAATCTGTGTAGTATACGGGTATGTGTAATACACAGGTGTGCATAGTATACAGATATATGTAAGATACAGGTATATGTGTGTAAAAGCTACCTTGTGGACTGAAGCCACGGCCATCGTGGGGTTCGGACGCGCCCCGAGAAACCAATATGGTAAGCTTAGGTTTTATTTATCATTAAAGTATACAACCTCCTGCATGGGTGCCTCGCTGCACACCCCGGGTTCACACGACAATTCAGCATTAGAGACGATGCATCGAATTTCCCCCCATGAGTATGGTGACACTGTTAATAAGGTGACGGGCAGCCCTCTGGAACAATATGGCGACCTCACACAATAACTGTATACAGTGTTCCAGAACCTTCCTCACTAACCAGTCCTCAATCATTCTTACCTATGTACTTTTCTATTAGATAATAAAATGTGTAACGGTGTAGCATTATGCATTTGTCTCTCCCTTATTTTATTTTTAAGTATTGAATAAAACGGACATGTCTATCAGATTATCAGCGCCGGTGATATCTTGTCTCACTATCATAGTGTTCTGGGTTCGATTCCCGGGTAGGGTGAGGCGTCGGGAAAGTTCCCTAACACCTGAGGGGAAAAACCCAGACTTTCCCGACATTATTATTTACGTATTGTGGGCCTTGACGAGAACAGGAAGCTGGCGGCTTGTCGAAAGTCCCCCAACCCCCATTTGCCGTGATCTTTTATTTACAAAGGCTAAGACCAGCAGGCTGATTATAACAACTATACACCATTACGGAACCAACACATTATCTAAACTATTTGGAAAACATTTATGAAGGAATAATAATTTCCTCCTCCGTAACAAAAATGATGTTAGGCTTCAGACCCAAAAACAGTTGCTCTGACGCTAAAATAAATAAACTTGACTGGATTCAATCAGTTCTTTGGCAAAGTTACTACGTACTGTAAAGAATAACTATTTCTTTACATTATTAATAGGCACTTTGTGTAACCCTAATTATCTAATTAAATTACATTAACTATGGCGTCAAGGGGCCAGATTCACGAAAGCACTTATACGCAAGCACTTACGAACGTGTACATCTTTCCTCAATCTTTGACGGCTTTGGTTACATTTATTAAACAGTTTACAAGCATGAAAACTTGCCAATCAACTGTTGTTATTGTTATAAACAGCCTCCTGGTGCTTCGGAGCTCATTAACTGTTTAATAATTGGAAACAAAGCCGTCAAAGATTGAGAAAAGATGTACAGGTTCGTAAGTGTTTGCGTAACTGCTTCGTGAATCTGGCCCAAGGATCACTCTTTCAATTTCATCAGATTCAGGTACAAAATCTTCAAATTTATTGAACCCATTTGTTAATACAATTTATTAATAACTTTAGTAAACCCTGAATATGAAAGAAATGCAATATCAACGAAAGTCAGTGATATATTGAAAAAAATAAAGAATATTATGAACCTGCTTCTGGCATCAACATGCCGCAAACACTTCACCTTCCAGTCAATAGATGGCGCTGTCCTGGCGGTGTCTGGCACCCCCGTTACAGGTAAGCTTTCCTATCTTACACAATTCTGATCTGATTGAATTGTATATATATATTTATTTACTAGCTTATTATGTATATACCCGGAAATATAAGGCAATATTAAAAATTATATCAAGTATTTCTTGATATTGGAAGGTATTAATGTAGGAAATGTTATGTTTGGTTGAGAGTTGGCAGCGTGGTGGCGGGTGGTCACTGACGAAGGTAAACACCAGCTGACTTTCTGGCCTCCAGCCCGCCTTATCTCGCTGTATTTACCTTGATATATTAACAAATTACTATCTAAACAAGTGCTATATAGCCTTCCAGGGTTGGCGCCTTGTTTTAGTAATTACTTATTGTCTTAGATACTTGTGGAAGTGTTATTTTTGTTATGTCTGGCAAGTTTGAGTCGTCTAGGCCTATACTGGGGTGGGTATGTTGGGTTCGTGTATATATTAGGGCCAGCTGGAGCATGTTTTAGTGACAGGAAGTGTGCGGTTTGTCATTTGTAATTGACGGGTGTAGTATATATGTCTATGGATATATTCTGTGGCTTGTGACGGAGAGTTGTAGGGCAGCACGGGTCGTGTAGCGCAGTGGTCTGCGTCCCGACCGCACAACTTGAGGGACGCTGTACCGGTAGAAACAGTTGGGCACAGTTTACCGTCATCAGGTGTCTTCTCTTCACCTCAATAGTCCTCCCACCAATGCATCTCGATAATTGTTTTGTTGGGGACATGCAGCCTGTGAATATACATGTACTGTAGGTTGGTGTTAAGGTCCCCAAAGGTGAACCTGCTGACCTTTCCCACGATGCAACCTCACAACAGTTAACTTCCAGGTACCTATTGACCGCTTGGCAAATGGTGGTATTAGTGAGAGAAATCGTGCCCAACCATTTCCTTCCTGCCTGGGAATCGAACCCGGGACTCCAGATTGTGAGTCGAGAAGAAAGCCAATTGGGAATGTAAACCCATATTATTTCATGGGCTAATACAGTTTCAGGAATGACTGCAGATTTAATTGACAGGTACATTTAAGGAGAGAACCCACATTGTGGTGTTCAGTCCTTGAGCCCATTATGTGCCTCTGTAACCCTTTCCACCACTGCCCATAACATGGGTATGGGGTGCATAATAAATGAACTAAACAAAACTAATGTGAACACTGATATTGGCTGCCCTTTTATCAACAGTTTATCATCTATTTATTTATCATCATTTTTCAACACTTTTATCATCAACACAGCGAGAGTAACCCCAGTCCATAAATGTGGTGATCTCACTGATGTCAAGAATTACAGACCTACAGTATATCAATTCTGCCAACCTTGTCAAAAATATTTGAAAAGCTAATCTACATGCAGCTTTACTCTTATCTAGCCAAACACAATATACTTAACTCTTGCCAATATGGTTTCAGGCCCAATAAAAGCAGTAACAATGCACTGATTAGTATGATTAACTTGATACATAAAGCTCTTGATAAAAATGAGTTCCCTGTTGGGTTGTTTGTGGACCTACGAAAGGCTTTTGACACTATCAACCACCAAAACTTTCTTAAATTGCATCATTATGGAGTCAGAGGTCACTTCCTGCAATACCTTCAGTCTTACCTTACTGACAGGCTCCAGTATGTTTCTGTGAATAATTCCAATTCTCCCACCCTACCCATAAACATTGGTGTTCCTCAGGGCAGCATACTTGGCCCTCTCCTCTTTCTCATCTACATTAATGACCTTCCAAATGCCTTACAACACCTCAAACCAATCTTATTTGCTGATGACACACCCTTCATTTTCTCCAGCCCTGTCCCTCTTGCTCTAAATGTCACAGTGAATACTGGACTAAATAAAGTCCATCTTTGGCTAACTGCTAACAAACTCACCCTTAACATTGACAAAACTTTCTATATTTTCTTTAGTAATAAATCCTCAAATGAAATTAATCTCAGAATCAACAATATCCAAATTAGTAACAAAGTTGATGGTAAATTCCTTGGTATCTTCATCAATAACAAGCTGAACTTTCAGGGACACATTCTCAATATAACAAAAAAAAGTTTCTAAAACTATTAGCATTCTTTCTAAGCTCAGATATTTTGTACCTCGCCCTGCCCTGGTGACTCTTTATTACTCTCTCATCTATCCTTATCTCATCTGATGTTTGTGCTTGGGGTTCTACTACCCAAAATCATTTACGTCCTCTAATTACTCAACACAAAGCTGCTATTAGAACAATATCTAACTCTGGCCCCAGACATCACTCTGTACCCTTTCTCAAATCTCTGAATATGTTAGATATAAAGTCACTGCACATCCTCTCATGTGTACTCTATATATTTAAAACTCTGAACTGTAATGTCAATCTTAAAAGCTTAAAAGCTTTTAAGATTGACCTTAAAAGCCTTAAAAGCTTCTTAGAAGGTTGACCTTAAAAGCTTCTTAGAAGGTTGTAACAGAACCCATGGGCACCATACCAGAAACAAATACCTATTTGATATTTCAAGAGTACGACTTGATCAAACTAGAAATGCTCTACAAATCAAGGGACCCAGAATGTAGAATAATCTTCCCAATCATGTCAAAGGCTGCACCTCTCTCAACCAGTTTTAAAATAAAAACTAAATACTACCTAATAAACTCCATGTAACCTATCTTATCCCTAAATGTCAACCCATGTCTTACTATTTTAAACAATGCTGTTTGTTGACCAACTTGTATGTTGGCTATTTTCTGCCATGTTCCCCCCATTTTTATTGATTTTTTTCAACACAATTTATACCTTAAGCTCAATTACTATTAAGTTTTAGTCTAAGTGTTCCTCCCCACCTTGCCCGAAACGCTATGCGTACTAGTGGCTTTAGGTATTGTATGTAATAGCTCTCCTTAAATTCAACTATGTTTGCAAGTCATCTTCAATGTATGAACCTTACCTGAATCAAAAATCTAAATCTAAGTTTACGCTTACATTTACAAATTTAGAAGAATTTAATACTTTTATCAACTAGAATGGCCAATGTTTAAGTAGTGTAACAGAAGCATTTAAGAGTAATTAAATGGAACATTGTGTTTTTTTTTTTTTTTTAAGATGGTAACTTAATTTGATATTCCTCAGTGTTGGATGACTGACAAGGTGGAAGTAAGGAGTGAAGATGGGGGATCCTTCAAAGAAGTGCGAGCAGAACTTCCATCAACTTCATAGGTATGATAGATCCGTCAAGATAATGTACGAGTATAAGAACATTTACGTTTATTACAGAAATGTTCGTTAATTGACCAAGGTAATTTGTTATATTCATAAACTTTGCACCATTTAGGAAGTAAACCCTGTGAGATAATAACGGTTTAATAACAGGTAAAATCGGGTAAATAACATGCTGTGCTTTTTAAGGACTAATTTGAGAATTGCATTGAATAATGTATCCTAACTTAATGCTTTTGGTTGTATGTTAAATACAATATGGCAATGTACTACTGACTTTAGTTGTGTAATAAAGTAGTTATCTATGTGGAGAATGTATGTGATAGTTAAATACAGTACTGTACTTGGATAATTTGTTCAGAAGCTTTCTTAAAACTTGTAATAAAATTTTTAATTGAAAATTATTGTTATATAGTGAAGATTGTGCCTGAATCTAAAGAATTATTAATTTTATAATAGCTGTACTATAATTTACTAATAAATTAACTATTAATAAAGTTTAATAACGTAATAAAGTTTTTGTGTAAAATAGGGAACATTAAAGTACAGGGTACTAGTAATAAAAATATTGTTTAGCTATAAGACTTTTTCGCAATGGTTTGATTATCAGAATCTGTTTGGTAAACATGTTGATTTGATTGTTGCATTGGTTAGTTTATTATGCACCCCATTCTCAACTTGTGAATGAAAGGAATACAGAATGCATGAAAAGTCTTGAGGACAGGCTTATGGAATAAATAGGATACTAGGATTTATAAATTAATGATTAAAACACAGAAGAAAAAGGATTGTGCTAAGCAGAAACGAGTCTGACCAGAGAGATGTGGTGAGTGGAGTACTGCAAGGGTCTATTTTGGGACCAGTCCTGTTTAGTCATATGCATCAATAACAAATATGATGATATTGCAAACTAAATCACATTTACAGATGGCACTTGAGGGTTATGGTAAAGTTGGAAGTGAAAACGATATTGAGGATTTACAAAGAGAAGATATTTATATGAACTCCACAAATAGTCAGTCAGAAGGCTAGCAAATGCTTTTTAATATTGAAAAATGCAAGATCTTGCTTGTGGGGCATAACAATTCAGGCACAAACAAAAATTTAAGACAAATGAGGTGTCATTGATGTTTTTATCTTGTACTGTATACAATATTCTGCAGAATATTGTGTACAGCCCCTTGAGAAAGGATATAGGTTACGTCTGAAAATTTGTTTTTAATACAATTAAAGATAAATTTGGTCTTTCATTTGCCTTTATTTAAGCACTACAGCATTGTAAGTTTCTCCATTACTATTATGTCTGCTTTTATATAAATTTAAGTAAATCTTTTTTTGCAGGCTCTTAACATGTTTTGAGGAGAGTGCTTCTATTAGGAGACAGGATCGTTGGGTCATAGTGAGAACAGTGAGAGAATTGTTAAAAAGCTTGCCAACTGCTAGCAGCAACAGCCTGTTACAGGTTAGTACAGTGCTGCTTTGTACTCCTTCATGAAAGTCACTCTGTAATGAGGCTACAGATGTAGAGACATTGGTTCTATCCCTCCCTATTACTGGGACGTCCCTGTCAGAGAGAGCAACCATGACTGAATATTATAGTAAGCTCTAAGCATATTATGATGTGATATAATAATTGCGCAATTTTGTTTGTTTCCATCAGATAAAAGCATGCAGAGCGGCAAGGAAGTATTGCTTGAGTATTTAAGGTGGTTGCTTGAGAGTGTAGAATGGATGTGAGCAACACCTGTAGTGACAGTAGACAGGAATGAGGGGCGAATAAATTTGTTACACACTTTCAATCATTTATTATTTTTAAATACAGTTTAATCATTTTTTCTATCAGATCTTTAATTTTTTCCACCTAAAGTTTTGAACTTTCACAATTAGTTGCTCCCTTAGGTAGGATCCACATTCATGACCAGGATTGTGCAGTTAAGCAAGATAAGTGGGCACCATAGCCACAGGGATCTTTAAAATATCCCTTTTGAGACATTTAAGGATAATGAAACGTGTACAGCCTCCAGCTACCTATGAATGTGTGACATGACCAAACCGCAACTCGGAAGATGATGAAGTGAAAACGTTTTGGTTCGTCCTGGACCATTATCAAGTTGTGCGGAAATGTTGTCGCTTCTTCATCTTTTGAGTTGTGGTTTGGGCATCACTTCTTCAGCCACATTATTGTGACGCGTCGTCTGCAACGTGTGACATATTCACATCTGGGTAGAAGCACAAGCTGCCAGTTTGAAGCTTCTTTACATTACTGTGATTCCTACATTTTGTTGTTGTTGTTGTTTAAAGATTCTTTTATTTGCTCCAGATATGCATGGGGAGGATATATGGCTCAACTAAGGGCCAACATGGGCATTTTCTGTTTACAATTGCAAATGAAATGTAAATAACTATATGTCTCTTGTCATTTGTAAGTCATGGAAATAGCATTTAGAGACTACTGATATAGTCTCGGGCTTCTAATCATTGAGGGTCGATGTCTAATGCCCACACTTTCATTGACACCCGCTCCAGACACCCATTCCCAACTGCTAACACCTACTGACACCAGTGAGTTGACACCTAGACAGATACTTGCACCCCACATGCAAACACCCACACACAGATACTCTCACTTGCATACCAACCCCCACACCCTCATCCACTCCTAACACCCCGCACCCATCCACTCCCGACACCCCCAGCCACTCCTTGCACCAACATCTACTGCCTTAGTTGTCAGAATGACTGGCCACTCTTGGACAGTGGACATACTTTAGTAGGGTTTTTGTTGGGTCTCGGTCCATAGGTGTCCAAAGAGCATGTGTCATCCGATAGTTTATTACAATGTTATGAAATGCCATTGTACAAATACTTTAATATGCATTGATGATTATCTATAATATAATGATTTAACACTTATTTCTACCATTCTGTGTTGTTTTGAAATGATGATCAATTCTTTTTTGTTAACATGCAAGTTATTATTTCATGTAAATTTTGCTTTAAGTTTGTCATTGCTATTATCTTTTGTATATTTACAGGATTGGCTTACTACCAGGCAAGAAGCACTGATTTCTATGTCGATTCATTTCCTTAAGCTCATTGTCATAGCCTCAAGGTATGATGAATCAATTCTGGATTTTTTGCCTTTGAAAAATGGATCTTGATACTTCATAACTATAATTGTGAAGTATTAAGATTGTTCATAAAATATTGTACACACTGGTGTAATAATGCACATATAAATCAGGCGGTGGGGGGTATAAGGAGCTAGATCATGCTCACCGAGTGTCTCAGATAGCTGAGCAGTGCTAAAGTCACTAGTACGTGGTCACTTAAGTTTTGTATCATATCGGATATAAAAATAACACATACAGGAACACCTATGATGTAATTACCTAAGATGATTAAACGCCAACACACCAGCGTTGCTGGTGTGTTTGGCGTGAAACACTCCATGCCGGCAACACTGGTGTGGTGGCAATATATGCACTGGTGGCATTTTCAGTGTACCGATAATAGTCCAAGTACACTTGTACATTATCATAATAGTTCAGAATGGGAAGTTTTAAAAGTTTAATGAATGACTTTTGGAATTTTTAATAAGGTCCTGAATTGAAAATCTTACAGATTGAAAAAATATTTGGTAATAAACATGGGATGCTAATTCCTGCTGATGTTTAGAGTAATGAATGTTTAAGAAGCTAAGATAGTTTTGTATCCTAATTATTTCAAAGTTTAAAAATTGATGAGGTTAACACCATGTTAATTAATTTTTCATTCCATCTCTGAATAATTAAATAAATAATTTATTACTATGAAATCAAACATTATAAAGAATTCAATTTCATTGGCACAGTAGTAATTGAATGCAGTGTTTCGGACATAATGTTATTTATTTATTATTATTATTATTACTATTTATTATTATAGTTGTACTGTATTTAGTTTTACATTTTTAGTAATATTTTACATTTTAATATTTTATTAATGGTAATACTTATTTTTTTTTATCTTAACAGAAAAGTAAAATATGTCAAATTGGTTGAAAGTGCACTTGAAGACGACTTGAAACTTCTACATGGTATCTTGGGTAAGATGCAAACACATTTTGATTCTTGCATTACTATCGGTTAATATTTTGAAATAAAATGCTAATTTCTTCCATTAAAAACATAATTTGTTGAGTAAAATTTCAGAAAATAGTATGAGAATGATACGTTTTTTGAGGGTAGCTGAAGGACTGGTTGCATGGAGATTGAGACAGGTTTTATTGTCTTGGACTTTTCCTCCTAGGTAATGTCTTGGACTTTCCCCCTAGGTAATGTCTTGGACTTTTCCTTCTAGGTAATGTCTTGAACTTTTCCCCCCTAGGTAATCAAGGCAAGCTGATAGCCATGGTGGCACTTAGGGCGGGTGCCATCATCACGGAGGGCCAAGGGTTGTCGTACATATGTCAAGCACAAGTGTTTGGCACCATTGCCAGGTATGTTGCTGTATTCATGTAAATTATGAATCATTAAATTATTCATAATTTCAGACTTTATCATTTCCATGCAAAGTTGTTGACTATGTTTTGTAATATTGTGGAATAGAATTTAAGTATTATATCTTCAGTATACACTTGTTCTCTCTCCTCCTGTAACGTGTGTCTCTGAAATTCCTGCTGTAATGGGGGTGTCTCTGAAATTCCTCCTGTAATATGAGGGGGGAGGACACATTCATCCTGTATTGTGGTTAAGAAACTATATCAAACTTAAATTGTAATCATTCATGTCCAGGTTACAATTGAAATAAATGGTAATTTTTAGGTTAATAGATATTGAATGTCCTCGTGTGTAATACTTGTTTCCACTTTAGTGTTAAAAGTTTTAATTAAAGAGAACCGTAAATTCAGTAATATTCATGAGGAATTTTTTCTACTATTGTAGCAGTTCATTTCTATAGGAAGTTGTTCATCTAGGTTTAAGGAACGTGTAACCAAAATTGGTAGATTTTTTTTTAGAAGCCAGGAAGATTTACCTTTTATTTACCTGGACTTGAGTAACTTTATAGAGAGATGCTTAATATTATAAATTTTAACGTCATCAAAATAATAATCAAATAATTGTTAGAAATTTATATTTAGTTATTCGGTTTAGAGCAGTCAGTCATTCCTTGATAGTTCAAGAAATTAGTTTAAATGCAAGATGACACTCCACAGGGAAGTTGTGAAAGGTTACCTGACTGGTGTAAACCCTGACAGTGAGGAAGATGTGTGGTGGAGTATCTTGCTGTTCCGGCTGTGGCTGCTCAGTTGTGGAGGAGAAGCAAAGGTCGCAGCACTCCGGGAAATTTTGGCTATACTGCCTCGTAAAGTGTCGCGAAGGATTCTCGGTTTGTACATTTTTAGTAAGGCCTGTAATGGATACAGTACATGTTAAAAATAAACAGTTGCATTGATTATCAATGCTAAATTTACAAAGCATTCTTTGACAAATTTCTTTTGATTTGTAAACTTTGAAATGTATATGTAAGGAAATAAACCTTTTAGTTACCTTGTACTTTAGTACGTTCTCAAGTACCATTCCAGTTTTAATAAAAAAGGGATGTTGCAAATCCTTTGATTAAGTGGAGAACTGGGATTGCCACAGCTAATATCGTAATGTTCGAAACTTCAATTGAATGGCTTCAGCATAATCGGCTATACAAATGTAGGATTAATCATGGTCATTGTCCACAATCAGACAATACACACAAACTTTAAAATGACCTGGAGTCAAATGAGGGATGAAGTTATAATGGATGGCTGTTGAGATCAAAGAACTCCTATACTGCACTAGGCAGAGTTGTGCCTGGTACAAAAACATCCTGGTCAGTAAATCCTTGAATATGAATAATTTTTTGCTAGACTTTATTTTCTATAGGAGCACAAGGTCATGATGCATTGATGCATGAAACCTCAGCTGTGTGCTGTGAACATCTGCCTCCTGCTGTGAACATCATAACTAGCATTGTGTTTGTGGATTTCTGAACCTTGTACATAGTTTTTATTACATTCAGGCTCTTCTCTGATTACTATCCTTGCAAAATAATAGCAGTTTCATATATATTTCATAAATTTAAAGTGATACTGTGGGCACAAGCTGAACAGCAATGTTGTTGGCTTGTGCTGTATGTGCCAGCTTTGGCTACTCAGTACTGAGGCCTTCACACCCAGAAATGGTGTCATGATTTTTTTTCAAAATGAGTGTGTTTACCGAGCCCTGTGACGGCTGTTGCGAGCCCCGTGTACCTACGGGACTTTTAAATCTTCAGCAGCACTGTACTCTAAATCATGCATACTGGCTTGAATTGTGCAGTGCAATCAGTCAGGTCAGTCATACAGTATATGACTGTGCCACAGGCAGTCCCCGTGGCACAGTGGTATGCCACTTGCCCTGCGCTTTGTGATTAATTTGGCCTGGGTTCATATCCTGGCCAGGGAGAATTGACCAGGTGGCAATCCTTAACTGTAGCCTCTGTTCACCCAGCAGTGAATGGGTACCTGGTTGATAAACAATTTAGCGGGTCATACTAGTATTCCAGGGAAAATCAAGATTAAGAACCTGCTCGAAACGCTATGCATGCTAGTGGCTTTACAAGAACGTAAGGACACTTGTATATATAAATAAAATAAAATATTGTAAAAATATAGTAATGATATGCACAGAGGAAGAATTAAGGTCAGGAGTAGCATTGCAATGGAGTGTTTTATAGATACAGTACAGATTGCAATTAATAACTTTATAAATAAATCATTGTGTCAGGGACAGGCACCCAGTGTGTATATACATGTTAGGCTCATATCAAGGTCCCCCCCCCCCCATCCCTGGCCAAAGGTGAAACTACTGACCCTCCCCAGAATGCAACCCTATTCAAGCTAACTCCTGGGTACCTATTTACTGTTAGGTGAACAGGTGTATTAGTTGATAGCAAACACGCCCAACCATTTCTGTCCCCATGACTCGAACCCGGTCTTCCTGATTATGATTCGAGGATGAATTAGAGACTACTACTGGGACCCTTCAAAGTATGAGAGGATATGCAATGATATTTAACACATTCAAAGATGTACGAGAGCAGTGTGCTGCTGGGACTGGAGTTTGTCTGTCTTCTAATTGCTATGCTGGGTCATGAGGGGGGTCAAAGATAATTTTGAGTTGTAGGTCCCCAGTCACAGAGATCATAGGTGAGATAGATAAATGAAGGGAATTGTCAAGAGGAAAGTGCCAAGCCATTACGACTATATAGCACTTGGAAAGGGTCAGGATATGGATTTGGGATGGGATGGTATCTACGTGGTATCTGATTTTAGAAAGAATGCCTACTGTTTTAGAAACTTTTTTTTTATTTTTTGCTTGTGGCAATGGAAATTCAGCTTGTTGGCTCTGAACTGTGAGGAATTTCCCATCTACTGTACTCTCTTATTTTGGGTATTGTTAATATTTAAGTCTGATTAGTGGACTTGTTACAGACAATATGTAAAATGTTATATCAATGTTAAGGGTAAGTTTTTAAAAGTATTTACCTGAGGGCCACTGACACTAGTGGCTTCGACGAGGACAGGAAGCTGGCAGCTTGTCGAAGGTCTCCCCCATTTGCCTTGATAATCTTTTCCAGTTGAATTTTGAAATTTGACAGTCTTGGAATTTGGGTTTGTTAGCAGTCGGCCACAAATGGACTTTTTGCCTATAATTAATGTTTGTGCTAACATGCTGCATAAAAATGGCAACTCTTAAGTATTGTATACCAATGTTAACCCCCGCACTGCGCACCTGGTTTCGGCAAAAACTTCATAATGCAATTGTTAAGAACATTTTTGTTGTTTTTATAAATGTTCAGGTGAAGTTAATGTGAAAACGTTTCCAAACTCAACCATTTTCATTTCAAAACTGTGGTGAAAACATTAAAAAAATATTAAAATATAGCCTAATTAAAAAAAAACAAAAACAAAAAAACACAACTCTCAGAGCGCTTTAGGGCACTCTGCGTAGTACAATGGTTAAATGCAGTACAGGTATGACATTACTTTTCTTCTAAAGAATAAACTTGCAGAATAGTCCACCTATTGAAGCATCGTGGAAGAACTACTATAGCTTAAAATACCCGGGGAAGAACTCGTGACACATAATGGGGAGTGGGGTGCATGCAGGCCTTCACAAACCATGAGACTTCCAACTCTGCTAGACAGTGACCAGCTGCTAAATCTGTAGTCTCCAACCATATGAATTCTGGTGGCCCAGGCATGGATTATACAGCTTGACTGGAGAGCAATTTCCCACAGCGGATTGTCTTTTGTCAATTGTAAAAGTTAATCATAGTAGAAGGCCGGGTTCGATCCCGGGCGCCGGCGAGAAACAATGGGCAGAGTTTCTTTCACCCTGATGCCCTTGTTACCTAGCAGTAAATGGGTACCAGGGAGTTAGTCAGCTGTCACGGGCTGCTTCCTGGGGGTGGAGGCCTGGTTGAGGACCGGGCCGCGGGGACACTAAGCCCCGAAATCACCTCAAGATAACCTCAAGATAATGCTGTATGTTTGCAGTGTGTGCTAGGACCTGTATGAGTAAGATGAAAAAAAGTTCAGTAATTATTGTAGAGTAAAGTAATTTTGCTCGAGAAAGGTGGTGTGACTAGCAATAACAAAAGAAAATATTGTTAATAAATATTTCCTTTTCACAGGTTGTAGTTCAACTAAAGTTAAGAACATAGCCACCAAGTCATTACTTAATGTTCCTATGAATAGACTGGTTAAGGTAATGTATCTAATGGAAACTGTTATATACAAGGTTGTTGTGATGACGGTACTTGTGTGTGTGTGTGTGTGTGTATATATATACAGTAGTTATATATACAGTATATATATATGTGTGTGTGTTATATGCTATGCATGTTAGTGGCTTTGCAAGAATATATAAATACCTATACAGGGTATTATGTACTCTCACAAACCCATTGTACCTTCCTGTAAAAAAATAAAAATAAAAAAAAAAAATTGTATTGTGTGCACCAATCTTTAATTTTCTAAGGACAATCCAAAAGGCATATATTAATTTAGATTACCACACAAGGGGCAACAGCATCAACCTTAACTAGGCATAATGCAGTACACAACACAGGTGATACCATTATTCCCAGGCATTGGCCAGGGAATGGTTTTGCTCTGTTGCTGGGTCTTTTCTGTTCATCCCTCGTTGGATGTTAGCTTGAAGACCCAATGGTATGCTCGGTACTAGCTGTGAGAAGTGAATTAATTACACGGTAAAGTTTGTTACATTCATACATAATACAACGGAATGCGCTTTACTAGCATGCAGACGATGAGTCACATTAACGTGGCTGAAGATGTGAAGACTAAATCACACACCAGAAGATGAGATGACGGCGTTTCAGTCCGTTCTGGACCATTATCAAGTCGATTGTGATAATGGGCAGCTTGATAATGGTCCAGGACAGACCAAAACGTCGTCGTCTCCTCGTCTTATGGTGCATATGGTTTAGTCTTTAGAAAGTGATTTTGTACAATATATTTTTTAAGAATGGAATATAAGATTGAGGAGAGTGCATCACAATGCATGCTTATAGTTTGCTTGAGAATGTGGTAGGGAATAAGGGGGAAGGTGGCAGCAGGTTGTGGAGCAGGAGTGAGTGTTTGACTTGATTGTATATAAACTTGTGAAGAATACTGCACACCTATCTGTCATGTAGTGATGTTTTACTGCATAAGAGTTTTATTAATTTTTTTTTTTTTTTTTTTTTTTTTTTTTAGTTCATTTATTATGCACCCCATACCTATCTTGTTTGTGGGCAGTAGTGGAGAGGGTTACAGAGGCACATAATGGGCTCAGGGACTGAATCCCCACAATTCATTTAGCTAAGCAAGTTACAATCTTGATGAGCTAATTACAAAATTCAATGCACATTGTCACATCAACAATGGGCTCGAGACCGACCACAAGTACAGTTTCTAAATTAAGCAACTGACATGTGTGGAGAGCTAGTGTCACAATTGATATGTTTATCCTGCACACCGCCTTCCCCCCCCCCTGCACACCGCCTTCCCCCCCCCCCCCCCATCCGGTGGGCAGTGGTGGATAGGTTACAATCACCCGGTTACTACCTACAGTTAGCAAACTGGGGATATTTGGCTAAGATGGGTGTAATGTTGTAATATGTTGCTATTATATTTATCAAGACATGCCTTCCAGTCCTGGGAAATTGAGGAATGGGGTATTGATTTTTTTTTTTACCTGATGTTTGAGTTATAAATATTGGAATAGTTGAAGGTAAATTGTGCCTCATTTGAAGTAATTTTTTTTTTTTTAATGTGTTAACACTTTCGCGCTTTAGATTAGAGATAACTCGTCGCCGTTTTTTCTTACGATTCCGCATAACAGCCTACTTTTCTCGTCCATTGAAAAAATATTTCTATAAATTCCATTTTTTAACCGAAATGGATGGGGATACTTTTGTTTTGTAGAGAATTTATTTGCGAATATTTTGGTACCAGAATGAATATTATATCACATAAACTTCTATGAGTAAAAAAAAAAATACACAAAGTATGTTTGGGGGTGTGGCGAGCGTGTGGCAGTGGGTTCCCTTTAGCCGTTGATATATCCAACACGTGGGAAATATTTGTATGTGTTATGTATATGTCTGTGTAGGGAATTTTACTGCGATCACTGTCATACAAATTATAAAATGTTTCAACAAGTATAAACATGACAAACATCAAACGAACGAAAACAATGCGTTCGTTTCTGCCGCGAACGCATACTGAGCGACGTGGTTCTATATTTGGCGCTTCTCTTACACATGCTTTGTACAAATGTTATACAGTTCATCTTATAGAAAATTTTATTGCGAACACATTGGTATAAAAAGGAAATACGTACATAAAAAAGTAGGGTCAGGAAACGTATAAACTTTCCAAGCATGATTTCCCCCCTGTGTTTTCGCCAGTGCGCTCGCGGCTAACTACTCTCCACTTCACACACTCTTGCGGGTGGGCAATTACCTATATTAAACATTCATATGCATATGTCCGTGTAGAGAATTTTATTGCGATTCCAATGATACCAAAATTAGCGATGTAGGACAACTGTAGGCTTCGCAACCATTAAGAGAGTGGAAACATTTTGTTGCTGTTTGGTGCTCTCGGCGAGTGATCTGCATAGTTTTTTATTTGGTGTTGATACTCCTTATGCTTGGGCGGCATTTTATAGGTATGCTCTTATAGACAATTTCATTGCGAACACAGTGATACCAAATTTAAATACGTGCGCCTTCAATTATTGTCTGGACAGTCAAAAGAGTGTACACTTTTTCGGTCTTACCGCATAGGCGCGCGAAGTGCCGAAAGCATCTGGGGTATTGTTTTTTTTTGAGCGCCGAGAGCGCGAAAGTGTTAAGTTTTGGTTTTAAATAATCGGTGAAATTTTCATAATTAATTTAATACTTTTTCTTCTCCCAGATGGCTCCAGAAAGTCTTCTTTCTATGGATCCTGATGTAGAGCAGTCACCACCCATTGATTATAAAGTATGTACAGATGAATGTTGTTGGCATTTGGTTAGTAGTTCCAAATCATTTTTCATACTTAAAAAAAAAAACTTTTACCAATCAAGACACTTTCAGCTTTTTCAGCATTCGTTCCCTCATTCTGGCAGAGATTGGTTTTGGAATAAATTTCTGAGTTTTCCTGTTTCTACTGAATTTCTACCAAGAAGTATCACCTTGTGCTTGTTTCCACCCAAATAATGTAAACTGGTTATTAATTGTATAATAAATACTTTTTCAGAACCCTGATATACAACAGGAGTTTAAAGTCCTTAATAATGTTCTGAAGACCACCATTCATCAGCTAAAAGCTATCACCACAACTTCAAGGACAGGTATTATGAAGCATACAAAAATAGGAGGGTCATTACTGATGAAAGATTTACCAGAATATTGTGTGTGGAATACAGCCCTATATTCCACACTGGAATTGCAATCGTCACGTTATACTTCAGTGATTCCTTCTGTATTGCAGATAACAAGTAATGTAAACCAGAATTCGAAAGATCGTGAAGAGTCATCAGCACCACAGAAGACTGATGCAGTGACATCACCGTTCACAAGAGTCAGAGACAAAGAGAATCTGTCTCGAGATTCTGTACTTGAGGCATTCTGTTCAAAGGCAAACATTAAAAAGCAAACGTCCAAAAACAAAGCTTTGAAGAAAAACCTTAACTTCATAGTGAAAAATAGTAAAACCTTAGCAAATAAAAGACTGAAAGTCCATAAATTTGATGTGCCACATGTAAAATTGACCTTTCACGGTAAAAAGAGTTCTTCCGAAATGAGTGATTTGTCTTGTTCCCAAAAACTTATTCACACAGAAAGTAGCAAAAGGAAAAGATATATTAATGCATTATCTTGCAGTAAGTATGGAGACCGCATTGAAACTCCAAAGAGGATAGTGGGCATTGAAACACAAGTTCCTAAGAGATTAAGATTATCTCCCGAAAATGAAGTGAAGATGAAGATGACAGGAGGCAGTGACACCTCACAAAGCCCCAATAAACTAAGATTGTCTTCCGATACTGAATTTGAAATGTCGTGTAATTCCTCAACCCCACAAATGACAACTGAAGTGCATGGAGATGTCGGATGCAACGTGCAGAAGTGGCCTTTCGAGAATATGATGGAAATATCGGGGAGCAATAGGGAAGATAGAGAGACTGCAAAGGCAAATGAAGCAAACACAAAGGTTGAATATGGGACTGTTAAAGTGGGCATAAAGGCTAAGGATGTACCAGAAGACTGTACACATAATGAAACGAGTCCAAATAAAAGAGAAAATGTCGAAGACAAAGAATCTTGTAAGGCAGGTGTCAGCCCAAGTAAGGTTGAGTGTAGATTACTTAAAAAAGGAAGATACAATGAGAAAAGCATGAAAGCATCCCAGCAAAATGAGTGTAGAATGGAAGGCAAATCTGCAGACAATGATAGTGTTAACAATGAGGGCAAAAATGTAGGCCAAAAAAATAATGAGAGAAGTGAGATAAATGATGATAATCCTCCTAAAATGTGCAAAGATAATATATTGGAATCATTAACCTATGGTATTTGTAGCAAAAACAGTAAGGAGTATGAGGGAGAAAACAGTCAAGACGGCTTGCATTCTGTCATTAGTAAACTCACTCCAGAAGGTGAGTCTTGTGAAGGCATCGGTGAAAATAATGTAGATTACACACAGAGTCATAACAAAAAGAATGTAATGCAAAGTAATTCTCTGAATGCTCATGTGAGGGAAAGTGAGAATTGCAATAATAGTTTGTATTTTGTAAATGAAACAATCAAAACTAATGTAGAATTTTGTGGTAACGCTGAATTAACTCAGAATACAAATAGCTTCAAATCTGCAACGAGTAACGTTACAAAGAATGTCAATTTAAATCATGGACACGATGACACTATTTTACATTCTTGTGGAAGTGTAGATAATACCGCTGAGAACGACACGTGTGGTGAGCAACCCTACAGAACAAGTTGCCTGAAAGAAAAGGGTCCACCAAGAGCACTTCAAAACTGTCAAAAAAATTCCCCGCAACAGTTGCAAAGTACTAATATTGATGAAAATCAGGATTTGCCTGGCAGTAATGCACGTGAGCTATCCAACTTGAATATTGGTACAAATTGCTGCCAGACAAGTTCTCGAAAAGCAAAGCTCTCGGTCACCTTCAACGTGCCTGAATATGATCAGTCGGACACAAACAATGTTGTTGCTAATGCTGGGAAGTCAAGTTCTGAAGAAAGGTATTTAGCAAATGCCTTGCCAGTTCCAGAGCTTTCAGCCAAAAAAGATCAATTTAGAAACATGAAGACAAAAGGACCTCTGAAGTTTATGGTAGAACAGAATACAAATTCACAGCATGAAAAAACGCAGAAAAGGCTTACACCTGATGAAGAAACCGAGAATGGTGAGGGAGGAAGCATTCGGTCTGAAAAGAAGAGTACGAAAAGCTTTGAAAACAATGAACCCGCCAAGAACAAAGCACCCAAACAAACCAAGAAGCCTAAACACTTTTCGTCATGGAAAGCCATAAATTCTAATAAAAACTTTAGGTCTAAAAAATGGAAGCGTACACACCCAACTCCAGGTTCTTCATCCACCAAGGGCAAGAAGGGTGGAGACAAATTAAAAGGTAAATGGATTGCATTTAGTTCATGAAATATTGTAAACTTTATATATTTGAGTGAATAATTGCAGGGAGAAAATGGTTGTGTGAATCACACGCTGATGCTGTGTGTGAGATCTTTAAATCAATATGGGAAGATTTGTAGTAAGAAATATGTTGAAGCAGCATGATAATCAAACATTAATTCATTAAATATTGTGTAGTCAGAATATGACCAATTCTATCAGTCATGTTTGTAGAACTAGGTTTCTGACAGATGTACAGTTAGATGGATTCAGTATTTCTAGGTTATATAAAAATTCAACTATTTGTTAAAAGAATAAATGAAAAAGATGACCGAAATGTTAAATATTTTAGGGAAGACTGTATACTGTCTGCATAATGTGAGTGCATTGTTGGGTTTAACAAATAATAACAGGGCAGTAACATGTTAAAAGAATATTTTCTTACTGATGAAAAATATGCAAAATTGTCTATACAGTGTCTCTTTTATTACTGTTATGTTATGCTATGTAACTTGCAGATTTGGTCTGGTTAATTTACCTGTGTGTCGCTAATCTTCCTAGTGGCCTAGATGGGGATAGGAAGCCTTTGGCTTGTCAAAGGTTCTCCATATTGTTCCTGGGAATTTTGTTATTCTCTAGGTTTTAAACTGAAGTAATGTGTTGGCACTAGATATCCCTGACATAAAGACCTCGACATCAGGTTGTTTGTTGAAAGTGAAATCACATGCTGTTTACTTTTTAAGGAATAGCGATCGAAGATGACCGCTATGTACCAAGGGGATGGAAGCGTGTCATTGAGCCGCGTCTTACTAGAACATCCAAAGGATTGACTGTCAAGACCGATGTTAAGGTAAAAGCAATGTTGTCCAGTATTAATGACTTAGTTTTGTGTAGTTACAGCCTGTTTTATGTATGGTTATTTGAGTATGTGGTAGTTAATTGTGGTTGTGGAGCTTTTTGGGAGGATGTGAAGAAGTGTTTAGGGATAGGGTTGGTGGTGGGGTTGAAAATTGGTGTAAACGGTAAAAGTAGAGATGTGTCAAGACTACCATGACATGTATGACTACTCTGACATACATATGTCATGGTACTCTTGGAATTTTTTGTTTATTTTTTATTGTTTTTCCTTCTTCTATAGTACTACAACTAATGAACCTGAGCTTAAAGTAGGTACTTTAATTATATGGTTACAGTATAGATTGTTATGGGGTGTTAATGTGTTCTTGCGAATGTTATGAAAGCTTAGATCTCGTGTCATATGATTCCTCATAAAAATAAAAGTATACTTTTTTCTCTTCAGGCATGTTCACCAGATGGAAAAACTCTCATTTGTCCAAAAAAACTTAAAAAGTATTTTGAGGGAAAGCTGATGAAATTGGATGAGAAGCTGAACATGCATAAAATATATAGAATGTCTCCCTCAACCAAAAAAAAAGGTAAGAATGATTTAATGTTAATTTGTTGCACAAATATCAGTTATGTCTTGTACATGCATCATACTCCCACATAATTTTTCAGCATTCACAGTGAGTTGCCGCTTTACGTAAAGTGCCACTACATCCAAGGACAGGATTATGTATAACTAGACAGGATGATTTTTTTGTACTGGCCACACAGGGAAATTTGTAAGTGGTCTGTGATAGGAAGTCACTGGAGAATACTCTTTCCAGTCCTGAATGAGACACATTACAGTAATACAACTCTAGACCTTTCATTCTCTCCATTAACATCGCTGGTGACTTAGGAAGGAGGGCTTTTGTCAATATTGTTAGCCTGCCTAGACACTCAAAGGGAGCCGGTCGGCCGAGCAGACAGCATGCTGGACTTGTGATCCTGTGGTCCTGGGTTCGATCCCAGGCGCCGGCGAGAAACAATGGGCAAAGTTTCTTTCACCTTATGCCCCTGTTACCTAGCAGTAAAATTGCCTGTTGGATCTGAAATTTTCATCTATTTTCAATTAATAACATGATTCTGGAGCCTTATCATTGTAAATGCACAATATTGTAAATAGCTGTGTATTTTGACCAATGTTAACTTGTATTATTTTTGTGTTTCTAGTTATGGAGAAGAATTCCCACCTTGTAGAAGTAGTTGAAGCAGAGCGAGACACGTCTCACAACCCTGGTAGCTCCCGAGCCAAGGCTTACATGCCTCTCAGATTAACCTTCAAGAAGTCTGCTGATCTTCCCATTGGAGGTAAACCACAGACTAACAATATGAATGAATGCAGTAAAGATGGAAGGAAAAATAGCACAATAAATATTAGTAAAATGTTTAAAAACACTAACAATTCAAGTTGCCAGGAAGAGTCTAGCAAATTTATGAAAGGAAAACACAAGATGAATGAAGTGAGGAGAGACAGTGTACAAGACAAAGCTATGAAAATTGGCGGAGGTGTAAGTCATCCTGAATCCTCACCAGCAGTAAATGCTGGATTATGCTCCGTTGTTAAGCACAAAATGGTTACTGACTTGAGTAGTGTGGATCTTGGTTACGATCCTTATATATTCACCGAAGAAAGCAGTGATTCTGTTGATGTGAGAAATAGTAAGCTGTTAACAACCTCAAGGAAGAGTATTAATAGCACAGGAGTCAGCATTTCAAGGAATGAAAGGAAGTCAAGTTTTGGGCTTAAGAATCAAAGCAAAGAATTAAATAGCACTGAACCTGTAATTAATGAAACATGTCCTTTAGAGAAAAATGTTAGTCTTGACAATGCCCCTTCTGTACCCATGTTAATAAAATGTGTAGTAAATAATAGCTCTGACAACACCAATGAAACAAAATCACAGCCCTTGGTTTTAGATGAGAATCCTCAAAATTCGGTATTAGATTTACTTCAGATTAAATGTGGAGATAAACTTGGTCAAGTGTGTCTCTCACAGAATCAAAATTATACAAATTTTGAATTGAATGGTTTAAGCATGGCAAAAGGAGCACTTTTACTAAAGGGAACAAAAGCAATATCTGAGGAGGAGTGTAATGTTAATACTGTTAAAACTCAGTGTATACCAGAGAGCATGAAAATAAAAGAAGGGAAGACCCCGTCTGTATGCTGTGAAAAATATGTCATGAAGACCCCTGACAATAATGACTTTTGGGATATGTCTGAAGACACCAGCTGCATTGCATCATGCACTGCTGCACAGGTCTCTAAACGTGTCGATAAACAAAAACATGTCTGTGATGCCTCAGACGAGTTTAATCGGGAAAACTTTGACCATACTCCAACAGATAATGCCACAGCTGTTGTCAGTGAAGGTTTACCTCGATGTAACATATCTGAGGATATTTCTAAAGCTTCGTCAGAGCTTCCCAGATGTGAGAATGATGAACACTCGTCCAGTGTAATCACCATCCCTGGAGATACTGGGGATAAAATTCATATAGATGATCTTGTTACTTCACAGGGTCAGTCCCAAAGATCATGTAATAGTTCACCAAGATCTCCTCAGCTTAATAGTCAGGAGACACAAACTACTGAAAGGATAAACATAACAGAAGTTAGAGTATTGAGTAAGGAAGATGGTGAAAAGTTTGCTTTGATACCTCTAGCCCCTGATGCCAATAGGGAAGATATTTTGCTGGAATTAAGGTATTACAAGAGGCTGCCACATCACACGGATCATTCCTTCTTAATTAACTCGCAACTCTTCACATTGTCTCCACACAAGAGAGCTTTGGCTGCTACGTTGGAAGAGGCTGTGTTAGCCACTCAGTCATGTGAAGATAATTCCCATTCATCAGTAAAGAAGCATAATAATGAGAAGTTCCTCAAAACACAAAAAGTAAAGTGGCTCCATAATACAAATAATGTTACAAAACCATTATGCCCAAAGAGTCTGATAAAGGAATTTTTCAGTGAGGCAAGAGTAAAGCGGGCCCAGGGAAATGAAGACATACAAATTAAAAATAATTGTATAAAAAAAATTAATCGTGGCAAACAGAATTTGAAAGGCAGTGAAGCGAAGCAGAATAGGATGGCGGTGAATAGGGTAACTTCACGTGGCAGTGTAATGGAGCTTGACGGTAAAAAAATGAACGACGAGGTTGTCACCCCAGTGCAGACGTGTTCAAGTGATCAGCGTATAGTAAATAATTTTTCGCAAGATGGCACTCAGAATAGTGATGACGTGAATTGTTTTGCAGCTTTTGATGCTTCTGTGAGTTGTAGCGACACTTCTGAACTAATTGAAAATAATAGTCTCTCTGGAAGCATCTGTTCTGAAGGTCATCAGATAATAAGATCGAAAACAATTCAGCATAACATGATGAAATCCAGTAAATTGGCATCTTGCCTGGGAATTCATCTGTGTCAACTCAGGGCAACCTTAAGAGTGTCTTGCACAGAAAACGAGTGCAGTCGTCCTGCTGTTCCATCCCCAAGATCACGTTTGTGCCATCACCATAAGCACAATTCCAAGCGAACCATACAATCTCTTGTGAGCCCAACTTTATTTGAAATGTCATGCCCACTTTGTCAGTTAACATTTCATGATCTAAGACCTTGTTCCTATCATCCTGACATACTAAGTAATGCACGCATGAACTGCTTCAACCCAGACTCACCACTAGAAGCCTTGGCTGAGAAACTGGAAACAGAATACTGGTAAGTTAATTTTATTACCATAGCCTATATATATAATACAGTACTACAGGCAGCCCTCGTTTTGTATCTTACGTACTCTTATAGTAACCCTGTGTCAAACCGAACTCGTCCAAATCAGTTTTAAAAGGCACTGTGTAGGATAAATTCATTACATTTCAGGCACTTGAATAAAAAAACAATTGTTAACAAAAGATTCAGATATTTAGTCGGTAACACTGAATACTTTCGCAACTTTCCAGCCACAAATATAATTAATAATGAAGTTGAGATTGCTTGGGATGTGCAGTGACTATGCAAAAGTATAATCCAAATATTTAAAAAAAAAATTAATGTGGGGAAAACTGCTCAGTCAATTATCACTTTACTTTTTTTCAAACTTGATACGAAGGTGATTACTGTGTGATGTATCGCTTAAACTGCATTATCCAACAGGGTGTAAAACGTGGGCTGCATGTACTTGTTCATAGTTAAAAGTACAGTATTAGTCTTCTTTTGTTTGTATGCTGATGCCTCCATTTTCCATAAAAGTAGGAAAAGGGGTAATGATTGTGATAAAATAATGGTTTGAATATACTGTATATATATGTATATATCACGAAAATAAACACATGATTAAAAATGTGACAGTGTCAGACCACGGAGGAAAATTGAAACAGGAATTTCCTTAAGTACTTTTGTATATTAATACATCTTCAGAAGGAGTCTGAAGATGTATTAATATACGAAAGTACTTAAGGAAATTCCTGTTTCAATTTTCCTCCGTGGTCTGGCACTTGTCATACTGTATATATATATATGTATATATACACAATATAAACATGTGAAAATTATGTAGTGGTGCTCTATGTTGCAGTACATCAAAGCATCCAAAATTATAACATTTCTTTATCTATTTACAGGGAGTATGTGGGTATCATATCTTCAGTCTTCCCTAGCAAAACATCTGTAGCTCTTCCATCGCCTTATGAGTCAGGTTCTACCTGTGCTGTTCATGGGGTTACACAAGACATAGATCTAGAGGCCTTTTGTTCTCAGGCGTCTCAGTGTAGTAGTCTTGGTAATAACCGTAGGTATTCATCTTCTCCGGGTAGTAGAGCAGACTCTCATGACTCGCATGACTCGTGCTAGAGTGCTCAGCAAGCTGGTGCTTGTCTTTAATGAACTAATAATTATTAGGGATTGTAATTTTAGTTCATTTCCATCAAGCTCTTAATGGAAAGGTTTCAGTATCACTTCAGAAAAATCCAAGGCTACTTCAAGCCAGTTGTGTATGAAGGCAGAATGGCAGAAAATTGTTTCCATTTTCTTTTCAATCAGAGCAGAAATATATAGTCTAAAAAGTTCACCAAAATCCAATTATTTCATCTGAAAAAATTTCAGACTAATATTTACTTGCTGGTAATACCAAACTTGGGCAGGTAAAATCTAGTTTCGCACCATGGGCATCCCCTTACCATTGACACAGAAGCCATGAAGTTATTGCAACTAAATGTAATTCACACCCATGATCATCTCTTGCTGGGTGACCCTGCCCATTATTCACTGTCAAGCATGTTCTCAAAGCCTGTACAGTATGAGAGGTACTTCAAAATGTGAGAGAGAGATGAGCTCCTTGGTTCCTTCCTGCCATATTACTGAATTAAGATAAGAACATCAGCTGTTTAATTCATTGACTTAAGGATATCAAGTATTTTCATCACCTTATCACCTTCAATACCACCTTGAACTTGCATATTCCATGATTAACAGTCCTTGACTTTCCGTGTCACTTAGACGGTAACAAGGTCCTCCCGGTACCAGTACTAGGCTTCAAACCTGCACTCGATCATGCCTCTTTATCTTATGTACTTGTCGGTACTGTATCCAGAAGCCTGAAGCTGGTGAAGCATCCTGATATTTTCTTTTGACAAGTTTTTTCGTGATCATTATAAATTTTAACACAGCCTTAGTTTTAATGCTTTTTGATAGAGAAATGTATAGTCAGTGGTGCAGTAGAGGTAAATAGAAAAAGTTAGTGAACAGTAATATACGATGAAGCAACTTATGGATAGAAAAGTTTGTTAAAACAAAAAACTTGTTTTCTTCATATAAAATAGTAAGAAGTGATCAATGGAATATAGAGTGGCTTTCTTTATCATTGGTGCAATATAAAAATAATTTAAGATTTGCCAGTCATTTACACGGTAAGAAATGATATTCATATATATTCTTAATGTAATGCAACATTTTGCTATGTTAAGCGTTTCTTAAAAAAAGAAAAAGTGACATTGTTATAAAGATAATTTGACAAACTCACTAAGAGTATAGACCCGTACAGTTCTATATACAGTATGTTTACATACAATGACTTCAGAGATTAACTCTAACATTGTAATATTTCTCTATGAATTGTCATTGTGTGTGTGCCATTGGGGTATTGTTTACACTAATGTAATTACACTATGTAATGTGACAAATACACAGCGTGAAAGAGAACAGTGGAAGGTGTTGTGAATGCTTGGAGCTAGTGAAATGCTGTTTAAGTTAGATATACTGTATTGTGGTGAGTTTTTAGGGTATCAGATTTCAGTTGTAAGAGTTAAGGATGTAATGGGTAACTGACTTAATATTGATGGAGGATTAGGTACACATTTTGTAATGTTCAAATGGGTTCCTCTGAATATGGGTTTAAGTGTTAGGTCAAAGAGTATTATAGAAAAGGATGAGACCTTAGCATTGGTATAGATGGAGTTTATAAAGGATCAAGGGTTTAATAGGATAATTTAAAATTCTATTGATTTGTGTAAGTGTATGTGTGAAATCAGGGTAATGGAGAAGTGCTAGTCGTTAAATGATATGCCTACAGGGTGCAGATGTTCCCTTCTATACTGAAAGGAAATGCTGGTGTGGCACAATTTTAAAGAAGCATTCGAACAGTTGAAATGGAAAATATAGAATAAGGAGATAGTTACAATAACATGGCTGAAAAATGTTGACCAAACCACACACTAGAAAGTGAAGTCCCTTTCACTTTCTAGTGTGTGGTTTGGTCAACATATAGAATAAGGAATGAGAATGTTCATGAAAGATGTGGGATGTAGTGCGGCTGATACATTGTTGTGGAAGCTTTTTTTTTGTGTTGTGGTGGTGGTCCCATTTTTATGGTGGTGATACCTGGTGTGTTGAAAGTAATATGAAACATATTACTTTCTACTAGAAAGTAATGTTTACCCGAGAGCCACTAACAGTAGTGGCCTCGATGAAGACAGTAAGCCAGCGGCTTGTCGAAGGTCCCCCTAATTTACCTTGATGATCTTTTCCAGCTGTACTTTAAAACCCAATAGAGTTTTGGCATTAATGGCTTTGGCGGGTAGGTGGTTCCATAGGTTAATAACCTTGTGGCTAAAAAAAAGCATCTCCTGTTTTCAGTCCTAAAGTCCTATACATCTAATGTGTAGATGTAGAAAGTAATATGAAACATGACAAGAACACTTGTGATCCTGTGAAGTGTCTTTAACCGTCTTCTCCTACGATACAGTTCCATCTCCTGAGAACAGGAGATGTTTTTCACCCACAGGGTTATTAACCCATGTAACTGCTTACCTGTCGAAGCTGTAACTGCCAAAACGAGTGTTGAGTTTTAAAATATACTGTACCTAGAAAAGATCAAGGCAAATGGGGGGGACCTCCGACAAACTGCCGGCTTCTTGTCCTCATCGAGGTCACTAGGGTTGGTGGCCCTCAGGTAAATCAGTTAAATCTCTGACCGAGTGACTCCACCCCATGTGAAAATAAGTTTTTAGTTAAGTTCATTTATTATGCAGCCCCCATACCCATCCTGTGGAAATAAGAAATGAGTAATGTTGATTTTTATTCACACAATTGATGTACTTTATCATAAATTATACACTCATGAATTTGGTCATTGGCAATTTTAGTACAGTATTACATTTTATCAGCTGTTAACCCTTTTTATGTCTGCAAATATTTTAGTGAACTACAGTGTGTACTTGTCTTGAATCTAGAGAGACTATGTTACAGGTACTTAGAAATTTTGTAGGGAGTTAATCAGATAAGAATTTTGAATTATAACCATTGGACATGAATGTTATATCTGGTGTTTAAATATTGCAACATATAGCAACATTTAACATCAGATACAGTACAGTTAAAATTGTGAATGTATTGTAGCCTTGAGCTGAGGGAATGTTGGGTTATTATTCACTCTACTCGCATCTTTATTAGCCATGACTGCAAGCTGTGATCTAGACATGCATGCTGACGGTAAGCTCTTTGATGACGTTTTTGTTTCAATTCAAATTACAGTATTTTATTTCATTACATTATTGAATTAATAGTTGTACATATTGAACATTTTGTGTAGAATTTGAAGTTTTTCTGCAATGCAGTTGATTTACCTGAAATTTAATGTCCATAGTGACATGCTATACGGGTGGCTTGAAGTCATTTTATTGCAGGTTGCACAAAGTGCTTAATGTCGGCAATTACAGTTGCCGTGCTGGTGTTTGTCAGCGGCACTGATGTTCTGCACTTGGTATGCTTGAAGATTGTAGACTTTGGTTTGTTTCAACTATCTAGGTTTACTGTGTGAATTTTGTGGTTGCTGTATAATCTTTTATCTGTTTTTGACATTCTTATTACACTGTTGTGATAACACATATTGACTGCACAAGTCATGCACTTGTTTGGACATTCCATTATATAGTGTCATGAACTTATTTTGACTTTCCATATTACATAAGAATACACGAATTTGTAGGCAGCCTGTTGGCCCCATACAAGGTAGCTAATATAAATAGCCCACCAATCTTGCTCAAATTGTACATAGGTCAAACCTAAACGTGAAACAATCCAGAGATCCCATGTGTATTATGTTACATGGTAATTTGTTCCATAATTTAGTGTTGTCGCATACACTTTTATTTATATAGTTTCTATACTACAATATTGTCATGTGCTCTATTTTGTGTGACTCTTGAACTGATGTAGTTTAAACTCAGTTAATGTATCGCTTATAATTTAACTTTTTTTTTTTTTCCCCAGAATGTCAAATTAACCGTAATTAATTTTTTAAGAATAATTTGGCTGGTTAAAGCAAGTTAGAAAGTCAGGTTTCTTTTATTTATGATTATAAGTATATGTTGCAGTACTGTTACTACAAGAGATGTGTGCTAGATGTGTTAAGGTAGAAATCTCTGTGAAGACTTTTAACACATGTTTTTTATTGGTGCTAGGCATATAGTTCACTGCTGAAATGAAATCTTTGATGTGAATGAAAGCTCAAATGACTCACATTGACTAGATTTTTCACTTTGACTAAAATATATATATACAGTATACAGATAAAGTATTCATATATGCATTTATAAATAGCTACTAAAGATTTACACTGTAGATGAAAGATTTTTTTTTAATACATTTAATCATATTTACACAATTTGATTGTCTTACTATGTAAACAATATGTATGTAGTTAGGTTACTTTAAGCAAAAAAATATGTACATGTGCTTGAGATGACTGATTTCTTATTTTTGTAATTTTTTGCCAATTTATGAATTATTTGCAATTACTATTATTTTGTTACTTTTTCCTGCTTTTAATTTTTCTCCTTCCATTTTATTTTATCTCTGGCTTCTCTCTCTTGTTCTTATTTCAGCTTCCTCCTGTTCCTGATTACCTACCTACCTACTTACCTACCTCCTCCTCCTCCCTTTACCTACCTCCTCCTCTTCCTCCCTTACCCTACCACCACCACCACCTCCCTTTGCCTACCTCCTGTTCCTCCTCCTTTTTCCCTTTGCCTACCTCCTGTTCCTTCTCCCTTTTCCTACCTCCTGTTCCTCCTCCCCTTTCCCTTTGTCTACCTCCTGTTCCTCCTCTCTTTGCCTACGTCCTCCCTTTGCCTTGTATTGTTGTACAAGAGTGTGTGTGTGTTCCAGCAAGATGTGCAAGTGATCCATTTTTGCCACGTCACATACATGCAGTCGGGATGTGAGCACACACATCCAAGTTTAATTTGACTAAGAAAGTGTCAGTTTGTTTTATTCGACAAGCACTCTTGTTAGTTTTTTCCCTTATTGTTATGATTTTATATATTTTGCTTGAATATATTATACAATCACAATAAACTCCAGGAATTAATTTATTCCATTAAACCCAAACTTGAGCTATAATTAGTTGCTTGATATAAAAATTGAAGTACTTGATATTAAACTTGTGTTTTATGAGCCTGTTGAACTTTTATTTATACTGTATTTTTCTTTGTTTAAAGTATCCTGAAGAAGGAGATTAATACTCTCTCCAACTAGTCTATTGCCAGGTCCTTACAGAAAGCACATTGTATGCTGGATACAGTTTATAACCATAGAAAGATGGGCATTTTTAGATTTTCTCCAATGGTATACAGTATTTAGATGATTTTAATTATTGCCCTCATGGGAAGGGGTTGCTTTGATGAGGCGAAGTGGCTCTTGTGTGCCGTTTTCAGGCAGTTATGCTCTCTGCTCCCTGCTCTTCTCTGGTGTGTTGGTGTGTAACTAAACACACTTGCTGATTACCTGGTTGATGGGGTTCTGGGAGTTCTTCTACTCCCCCAAGCCCGGCCCGAGGCCAGACTTGACTTGTGAGAGTTTGGTCCACCAGGCTGTTGCTTGGAGCGGCCCGCAGGCCCACATATACCTGGTTGATGGGGTTCTGGGAGTTCTACTCCCCCAAGCCCGGCCCGAGGCCAGACTTGACTTGTGAGAGTTTGGTCCACCAGGCTGTTGCTTGGAGCGGCCCGCAGGCCCACATATACCTGGTTGATGGGGTTCTGGGAGGTCTTCTACTCCCCCAAGCCCGGCCCGATGCCAGACTTGACTTGTGAGAGTTTGGTCCACCAGGCTGTTGCTTGGAGCGGCCCGCAGGCCCACATATACCTGGTTGATGGGGTTCTGGGAGGTCTTCTACTCCCCCAAGCCCGGCCCGATGCCAGACTTGACTTGAGAGTTTGGTCCATCAGCCTGTTGCTTGGAGCGGCCCGCAGACCCACATACCCACCACAGCCCGGTTGGTCTGGCACTCCTTGAAGAAAACAATCTAGTTTCCTTATGTATGAATCCCCACCTAGATGGGGTGCAAGATAGGAATTAATAAAGGGATCTTTGAATCAGCATGGGTGAACTATTCAAAATAGTGGTCTTCTCGGTTGAAAATGGGAAAGTGGTACTTTTGATGAGGTCCTGTCCGGGTCAACTTGCATGTTTCAGTTTCCCTCGTCACCCTCTGAACTGCATGACTGTGGCAAGCCACAATAGGGAAGAATCCTTGAGACTTGGAACTTAAGAACAAGAGGTTGTAGATTTAAATTAACTAAACATAGCTGCCGAAGAAATATAAGAATTTACTTCTGCAAACGGTGGTAGACAGTTGGAACAAGTTGGGTGAGGTGGTGGTGGAGGCCAAAACCGTCAGTAGTTTCAAAGCATTATATGACAGAGTGCTGGGTAGACAGGACACCACGAGCGTAGTTCTCATCCAGTAACTACACTTCGGTAATTACAATGCAGGACTGAAAAAGGAGATGCTTTTACACCCACAGGGTTGTCAACCCACGGAACCTCCTACCCACTGAAGCCATACATGCCAAGACTTAAATTTTAGAATCTGGCTGGAAAAAATCAGGTCAAATGGGGGGTGCCTTTGACAAGCCGCCGGCTTCTTGTCCTCATTGAGGCCACTAGTGTGTTAGTGGCCCTTCAAATAGAATAAGATCCATCATATCTGCATCTGAAACTATGTATGAAGTGTGTCTCCACCACATCACTTACCAATGAATTGACTACTTTATAATCTTAATCCATATACAGTATTAATCTTAATACATAGATTAATACATCACTTCTTAATCTTAGTCCATGTTTTATCTGTGTTTATCTGAGAGTCACTAACACTAGTGGCCTTGATGAGGACAGGAAGTATTAACTACTGACTGACTACTAATTTTGTATAAACTACTGACACTGAAAAAGTTCTTTCTAATATCTCTGGCTCATATGTACAAAGGTAACATATGTTATCTTTGGGCATACATTTTGATCAATGAGCTTGTGAGTTGGCAGCATACCCAGGAAGGCAATGTGAGGAAGTATGAGGGAGGAGCCAGGGAGGAGGAGGAGGAGGAGGTAGGAGCCAGGGAGGAGGAGGAGGAGGTAGGAGCCAGGGAGGAGGAGGAGGAGGTAGGAGCCAGGGAGGAGGAGGAGGTAGGAGGTAGGAGCCAGGGAGGAGGAGGTAGGAGCCAGGGAGGAGGAGGTGGGAGCCAGGGAGGAGGAGGTGGGAGCCAGGGAGGAGGAGGTAGGAGCCAGGGAGGAGGAGTAGGAGGTAGGAGCCAGGGAGGAGGAGTAGGAGGTAGGAGCCAGGGAGGAGGAGGAGGAGTAGGAGGTAGGAGCCAGGGAGGAGGAGGTAGGAGCCAGGGAGGAGGAGGTAGGAGCCAGGGAGGAGGAGGAGGAGGTAGGAGCCAGGGAGGAGGAGGTAGGAGCCAGGGGGGAGGAGGTGGGAGCCAGGGAGGAGGAGGTAGGAGCCAGGGAGGAGGAGGTAGGAGCCAGGGAGGAGGAGGAAGGAGCCAGGGGGGAGGAGGTGGGAGCCAGGGAGGAGGAGGTAGGAGCCAGGGAGGAGGAGGAGGAGGTAGGAGCCAGGGAGGAGGAGGAAGGAGCCAGGGGGGAGGAGGTGGGAGCCAGGGAGGAGGAGGTAGGAGCCAGGGAGGAGGAGGAGGAGGTAGGAGCCAGGGGGGAGGAGGTGGGAGCCAGGGGGGAGGAGGTGGGAGCCAGGGGGGAGGAGGTAGGAGCCAGGGAGGAGGAGGAGGAGGTAGGAGCCAGGGAGGAGGAGGAAGGAGCCAAGCAGGAGGAGGTAGGAGTCAGGGAGGAGGAGGTAGGAGCCAGGGAGGAGGAGGAGGAGGAGGAGGTAGGAGCCAGGGAGGAGGAGGAGGAGGAGGTAGGAGCCAGGGAGGAGGAGGAGGAGGTAGGAGCCAGGGAGGAGGAGGAAGGAGCCAGGGAGGAGGAGGAGGAGGTAGGAGCCAGAGAGGAGGAGGAGGAGGTAGGAGCCAGGGAGGAGGAGGAGGAGGTAGGAGCCAGGGGGGGAGGAGGAGGCTGCCCAACATGGCGGCCGCCACGTGGGGCCGCCGCCGCCGGCACTCTTCCACGCACCAGGTAAATTATTTGGTTTATTCCCTTATTACTCTCACCATTATTGCATAATGTTTTCATAGGGAAAATTATTTCCTTTTTGTGGTATGCAAATATGAAGCGTGTGTGTGTTGCGTCCTAAATTTGTGAATGGTTAGATGTATAATATTTTCAGTTATCAGTTAATGGTATTTATAAATTATATTGTAAATTAATTAAGTTTATTGCCGTAATGAAGGCAAGAATTTGATGAGTGTAGACAGAACGGGGTGAGTGTGTAGAGGAGAGACAGAGACAGAGAGAGACAGAGACTGACAGAGAGTGAGAGTGAGAGAGTGGAGGAGTCAGTGAAGACTGTGGTGGCGGTGTGAGAGGTCAGTCTAGTCACTGCTCTTAGTCTCCTCTTGTATCCACCATATACTGCTATAGCAAGCTTTATATATATATACCCTATATCCAGCCGTGGGCGGTGGTGCTGGAGGGACTCGGAAGCTGTAGCTATATATTGATCAACGTACTATACATTTCACATGTTCAATTCAATGCAGTTTCCATAACTGCATTATCCGGTTTACAGTCGTGCATCTCTATGTAGAAGATGTCCCGATTTACAGGACGATCGTGTTTTGTTTGTCTAATGTCCCTCGAGGTCACTTGACCCTCGACACAAGCCTCGGTGAATCTGAACAAATCCACAAAGGCCGTGACGAGGATTCGAACCTACGTCCGAGATCATCCCAGAGGATGATCTATCACACTATTGTGATTTCTGTGTGTCTCGGTGAATCTGATAATGATGATAATGATAATTATTACCTCTGATACCACTAGCCTTGAGCCCTTGTTCTCATAGTAACATCCTCAGTGATTGAAGGAGATTAAGCCACCCAAGAGATGGCACGGGCATGAATAGCCCCGTAAATATCCTCAGTTATTTTTTAGCACCTTTTGAGCTCCCCCAGTGGCACTGTTGGTGCCACATTGTCTGGATTTATGGGAATTTAGTTGTTTATGTAAATATTGCTTGCCACTTGTAATGTACGTCCACAGGAAGACTTTCAACCTGCTTCCTGGGACGAGCTTCAAGGGCCAGCCTCAAGGACGAGCCTCAAGGACGAGCTTCAAGGAGCAGCCTCAAGGACGAGCTTCAAGGAGCAGCCTCAAGGACGAGCTTCAAGGAGCAGCCTCAAGGACGAGCTTCAAGGAGCAGCCTCAAGGACGAGCTTCAAGGAGCAGCCTCAAGGACGAGCTTCAAGGAGCAGCCTCAAGGACGAGCTTCAAGGACCAGCCTCAAGGACGAGCTTCAAGGAGCAGCCTCAAGGACGAGCTTCAAGGAGCAGCCTCAAGGACGAGCTTCAAGGACCAGCCTCAAGGACGAGCTTCAAGGAGCAGCCTCAAGGACGAGCTTCAAGGACCAGCCTCAAGGACGAGCTTCAAGGAGCAGCCTCAAGGACCAGCTTCAAGGACCAGCCTCAAGGACGAGCTTCAAGGAGCACCTTGACCCCGTCGCCATGTACAGGCACACACGGGAGGGCTCGAGGCTGTCCTCTCGCTGCACACTTATACTGGTATGTTTATTACTGTTCTGTTAATTATTCACTAATCACTGCTCATTATCTGTTTATTGGGCTGTAATGTTGTTACTCAATATTTTGAAACAGCATTATTAGTGAGCAACTTTGTGCTGTTTTGATCTGTTTTTGATCGATATATATTTATTAGTTGGTGTGTTTAATATATGTTTTATTGATATTAAGCTAATATAATATTTAGCATTTATACATTATTTATAAATTATTTTTATTATTATAAATTATTTTAGATGGCAAATTCCTTGGCGTTCTCATCGACCACAAGCTGAATTTCCAGGGTCACATTCTAAATATATCAAAAAAAGTTTCAAAAACTGTTGGCATCCTTTCTAAGATCAGATATTATGTACCCCGCCCTGCCCTGGTTACTCTCTATTACTCCCTCATCTATCCATACCTCAACTATGGTATTTGTGCTTGGGGTTCTACTACCCAAAATCATTTACGTCCTCTCATTACCCAACACAAAGCTGCTATTAGGACAATAACCAACTCTGGCCCCAGACATCACTCGGTACCCTTACTCAAATCTCTGAATATGTTAGATATTAAGTCACTGCACATTCTCTCTTGTGTATTATACATATATAAAACGCTGAACTGTAATGCCAATCCTGACCTCAAAAGCTTCATTGAAGGTTGTAACAGAACCCATGAGCACCACACCAGGAATAAATACAGTTTTGATATTCCTAGAGTACGACTTAATCAAACTAGAAATGCTCTACAAATCAAGGGACCCAGAATGTGGAATGACCTTCCCAACCATGTTAAAGACTGTACCTCTCTCAACCAGTTTAAGATAAAAACTAAACAATACCTAATAAATTCCCTGTAACCCTCCTCACTCCTTTATTGTCAACCCATGTCTGTTATTTTATATTATTATTATTATTTTTTTTTTTTTTTAATCAACACTGTTTGTCAACCTATTGTATTTGTGCTGCTTTTTCAGTCATGTTCCCCCTTTTTTTTATCTTTATTTGAATTTGTTTTCAACACTTTTTATTCTTTATGCTCAATTAGTATTAAGTTCTAGATATTAATGTTTTTCTTGCCCGAAACGCATTGCGTAATAGTGGCTTTAGGCATTGTATGTACTAGCTCTATCTATATATCAATCCATTAATGTAACATCACTTGTATGTATGTACCTTACCTGAATAAACATATTTATTTATTTATTTATTTAAATTACAGTGTTTGTATCTCTGTTTGGGATTGGAAACAAGATGTTTAGGGCTACCCCTTACCCAATTTTTATTCTTTTCGCCATGATAGGTAGTAATGGTGGCTGGTACTGTGGTTCTGGTGACGTTGCGTCCCAAGACTAATGCAGGTGAGAATTGTCTTGAAAGTTGTCTGTCTGTCTTTCCATATTAAGTGGTATCAACATTTTTAACAATCTGAGCAGTTTAACCTAATTCACGGGGAAAGATAAGCCTTCTCCATTTTTAAAATTCACTTTTGTGAGTACTGTACTGTGTTACACAATGAATTTAACCTTATTGCAGGGGATTCCTATTTATTGGAAGATGACAGTATGCCAGTGTTAAGGCGTCATTACTCTTCTCACGGCCACCACCACGCTCCCCGTCACCCGCCTCCCATATGGGGTCAGTCGCACCTCAATCAGGTACTGAGTCTGCTCTCAAACACTATAATAATAATAATAATTAATAATAATAACTCATGGCCTAGTTGACTAGGGCGTGAGTGGTGGGTATTCGTGGGAACGCCCACCACATAAGTTCGAACCCTCATCACGGCTCTTACGGATTTTCTCAATAATAATAATATGAAATATACATAATATTTGAACCTATTATAGATGAATTCAGTATTTGAATGTTTAGGGATTGCGTATTAAAAATTGCCACTAATGTGCAAAGCATTGCAGGCAAAAGCTTAAAATAATTGTCTTATGCTCCTTATGATTAGAAACTTTAAAACTTGTTCCTCTATACTGTATAAAGTATGGTTGTATAATCCAACTTCAACACCTAATGTATACATGTAGACATTTCTATATTGATGTTCATCAGATTTTTGTTTCAATAGCATTTAAACAAGTAAAAAATTATGGAGGTTGATTTCACTTTATAAAGTAAATATTTGTATTTTTGAAAGTTAAGAGAAATTTGTGTTCCAAATTCACTAAGGCCACTTCTTAAATGTCATCCTATAGTTATCAGTTTTAGTGAAATATACAACATATTACAAAGTTATATAAACAGTTATTGTGTGTGTAGTGGTTATTAGACAAATAAATCCTTGATATTTTGTTCTATAGCTCTGAATGAGTTGTATGATGCCGCCCTCGTCAGAGAGAAGGAGTCCAGCCACTTGGGCTGGACGGTAGAGCAAAGGTCTCACTTCATGCAGGTCGGCGTTCAATCCCCGACTGTCCAAGTGGTTGGGCATCATTCCTTTCTTCCCCGTCCCATCCCAAATCCTTATCCTGAGCCCTTCCAAGTGCTTATATTGTCGTGATGGCTTGGCACTTCCCCTGATATTTCTCTTCCCTTCCCTCCTAATTAGTCAGGTCCCCTGGCAGGAGTCCCCATGCTGGTCCTCGTCACCACACGTGACATCTCCATAATAAGCAGGTCAGTGTATGTTACATTTACGTATATGATTGGAGTGCTTTTAGCATAAAGGTAAGTACAGTAGTCTCATTATTCTGCTTAGAGCTTGAAATTGTATATGCCGCGTATATATACTGTACAGTATATATAATTATCATTTTTATTTTTTATTTTAGTGAGCATCCTGGTATGGTTGCAAGAGTGACAATCTCCAATTTTTATTTTTTTTTGTTAGTCTTGAATCCTTGAGGTTCCAGTTGGATGGCACACTGGTAAAATGTCATAAAAACTTACATAAAACAAGGATGAAACCCTGAATATTTTGGTCTCTAGCTGAAATGGAGTGTTAGAAAGAGTTGGAAAATTATTTACTTAATTTCTGCTAAATTCAACACCTGTGTTTATCTGCATTTGTTCTCAATATCTATTATAAGTAGTAAGTGAGAGGATATCATAGTCTTATCACGCAAGAATATTCAAGACCTAGAATGGGATGCAACCAGTATTTTCCTGTATTTATATAATGATTGCTTATTGCAGATCTATTGAAAGTGTTCTGCAAGAAACTGCAGGGAGTGGAATTCACCTCGTTGTATCAGTCCCCAACCCATCTCAAGAAGTATTGGATCTTTTACAGGGGTATCCACTGAAGATTCATATTGCTAATAATCCTCAGAAGCTTTCTGACAGAAATGGTGGTGATCATTTCTGGAGCAAACTCATTCCCAGCTTTTCAGCTGTGAATAATTTCAAGAATATTATCGAGGCATTTTCTGGCACTAATGTATGTATGAGAGACATATTAAATCCATTAATTAATATTTTAAGCACTGGAGAGAACATCACAGAGACATCAACGTATGCCCTAACTCTAGAGGAGTTACGAGGAAAAGGAGTTCCATATGAGCAACATCCATATAATCCTTTATATCGAAAAGCTGTAATTAACTCAAGAGATGAAATTTGGAAAGACACCTTAGGTGAAGGTGTAAGTAAAGACAGACTGTTACAGGCTGGAAAGAGAATGCACAGAGAAAGTTCACAATGTCAACATAGCAAAAATTTCAAAGAAGCTCTTCAATTTGTCAAGACTGCCTTCACAAAGTTTGAGTACCTTATGCTCCTGGAGACTGGCTATGCTCTTTCCCCAAACTTTGTCAGGTAAATATCATGGATTTGAGTTCTATTTATTTATTTTATTTATTTATATACAAGAAGGTACATTGGGTTTATGAGAGTACAAAGATTTGACATTTTACAAAGCCACTAGCATGCATAGCGTTTCGAGCAGATTACTTTTAATCACTTTTATCACTTTCATTTTATATAACTTTTTAATCACTTTTATATTTACAGTACTGTTACAGGGAGCAGTTGTATACATAATAAAGACCATCATCTTTCTAAAAAACTAATAATAATAGTAAATCTTCATTAGTATTCCCAATGACATTTGCTATCATGAAGTGTAACATTTGGCACTGTGTTTTATTTCCTGTATTCATTTGGAAGTGTTTGCAGGCAGCACTATACCAAAATATGATGAGCTTTTGCAAAAATGATGACATTAAATTAGGTATTGTACAGTACTTAAGTAATATGAATACATTGTACTCTCTTTTGGTTCTCAGTTACTTCAGTCAAACACTTGCAGCCATGAAGGAAGATCCATCCATCTATTGTATTTCTGCTCACAATCCTCTCGCTTCACCTTTGACCTCTGGCAACATTACGAGTGTTTATCGTTTTGATCACTTTGTCGCTAAAGCAACTTTAATTCCTTCAAAACTAGTGACTGAAATTTTGGAAGACTTTGTGATCTATGAAGAAACTAAATCACTGGAAGACAAATCTGCCTTGGTAAGTGTGAAGAACTGGACTTTTTATTATTATTATTATTATTTTTCTACCACAGATGTGGCCACACATTTACAATGCTTAGCAGCATATATACATTTTCTTCTGTCCTCCATGGACAGGGTTAGAGATGTGTTAAACATATACTGTAGTTCAGGGGTTTATTGAACAATCAACCACAGAAGGTGATTCGGTGCTGCGTGACGCCTACATTACCGACAACATCTATGTACAGCAAACCACAAACCCTCAGAAATATTTACCACTTTCTCCAGAATACAATAAATGGATGGTTGGAGTGACATAAATAACAGAGTAATTATTTTCTAAGATCATAGTTAATTCTTCTGGCGCATCAGAGTGAATGAGGATCTCTGAAGAAAATTGAATAACAAAACTTTGGAGAACATTAAACTATTTTGGAAAGAGAGAAATTATATGCTATTGTTATTTATAAAAAATAAGCGTGGTTATGGTTACAGAGTTTGCATATTACATACTGACGTGTTATTTTTGTAAAGTCACTAAGTATGGAAAGTCATTGGAAATATTCTATATATGTGGGAGAATTAAATGTAGAAATTCAAAGTAGGTGGAAAATCTATCATAATGGGCATTGTTGCAAGACTACAAGATAGGATGTCAGAAGTTATTGCCATGGAATAATAATAATAATAATAATAATGTTGTTCAGGAAATATGCATACATAAGAATATAATACAGAGATATACAGTATTTGAAGATTCAGGGGGTTACATATTAAATAAAGCCACTAATACTCAGTGTTTCAGGTAAAACTTTGAATAATTCAGTTAAATTTGTTTATATACAGTATAATGGGGTAAACTAAATAAAAAGTTAGTTAACACATGTAAGATGTTAAAGAAATTTAGTAATGATATACAATATAAAGGTGATACCTAGTGATGATAGGTAGAGACTACTACATTATAGAATCTGTAGTTTTAGCAACAGCACAGATAGTGTTGAATTGTTCATTACATTAGTAATGACAGAAAAATATACAAAGGTGCATTTTTGGTAAAGCACTAGAACGCTAAGCGTTTCGGCCATAACAGAATATACGTACCAGTATCGGCAAAAATTGAATGGTTTAATGGGGGTAAACTTAATAAACAGGAAGTAAGCTAACATACGACTCGAATAAATAATTTAGCAAATGATATAAAATGATTAGGTGACTGATAAAAGCAAAGGACTACTGTGTATCAATTCTGAAATGCAATAATAGCAAATTACAAAAATATATTTTATTGGATAAGGAAAGGAGTTAAATTTGTTATATGATGTTAAGTAAATATTTCTTAGTTTCTTAGTTTTTATTTTTTTAAACTGGTTAAGAGATGTAGAGCTTTTGATCACATTTGGGAGGTCATTCTACAATATGGGTCCCTTGATTTGCATGGTATTTCTGCTTTGGTTGAGTCTCACTCTAGTAATATCAAAAAGATACTTGTTTCTAGTGTGGCTACCATGAGTTCTGTTACAGCACTCTAGGAAGTGCTTAAGGTCAGAATTGCAGTTCAGTTTTATAGATATAGAGGACACTTTAAAGGATGTGCAGACTTGATATTTAACATAGTCAAAGATTTCAGTAAGGGAACAAAATGCTGTCTGGGGCTGGATTTGTTGTTATTCAAATTGCTGATTTATGTTGAGTAATTAGTGGTTGTAGATAATATTTATGGTTGTAGATCGCCAGGCACAGAGACCATGGGTAAGATATGGATAGATGAGCAAATAATAGTGTTACAAGGTATGGCAAGGTATGTCGTATCTGATTCTGAAGAGAATATCCTCTGTTTTAGAAACTTTTTTTGTTATTATTTTGTATATGGCAGTGGAAATTCAGCTTCTTTATGTGAACACCAAGGAATTTCCCATCTACTCTGCTCATAACTTAGGTATTGTTAATTCTTAGGTTTATGTGATTGCTGGACTTGTTACCAAACAATATGTAAAATATTTTGTCAATGTTTAGGGTACATTTGTTAGCAGATAGCTACAGATGGATTTTTTTTTTAGTTCGGTATTCATCATGTCAATTAGAATAAGTGAGTTAGCATGGGAGAAAATGAAGGTGATGTCATCAGCAAATAATTTGCAGAAATATTGACAACCAGAGTGAAAATTTGGTCTAAATAGGGAAATTTTAGTTACTAAGTGATGCTGAAGAATGTTTTAAATGCCTTCAACCTACAGGAGTCTTTGGAAATCTGGCTGTCCTGGTGGAGCAGACGGAGAAGACGTGGCTGTGTTGTGCCAGATGTACCAAGGATATGTCGCCTGCAGGAGCCAGGTGTTACTGACAAGTTTGAAGAGATTAAGGCAACATACAAGGATAACCATAACCTCAAATGTCTTCAGGAAGCTCAAGTAATTCTCACCAACACTTCTAGGTTAGTTTATAATTAATATTAAATATTCAAAACATTTAGGATTAAAATATCAACCAAATTTTCTGTTTAGCAGATTTGTTTTTATAAAGGTAGTATCTGCATCTATTCATTCCTTTGATAATGAATAATAAGAGGACCCTTAACAAAGTTTTATGGCCCAATCGAGGCAACTAGAAATGTTACCAAAGTTTACCTAAAGGTAAATCATGCTACGTATCTCACGTGGCCTTGAAGGGGGACAAAAAGCCAACAGTTTATTATATCTGGGATTTTTTTACAGCAGAATTTTAACCTTAAGTACTGTCTTGGCATTTACAGCTAAAGCACGTAGGTGAGTTAATGGGTTTGTTATACGGTATTACCCTATAGGTGAAAAAGCATCTGTTGTATATCCGTGCAGGCTTGTTGAGTGTGCACGGCTGCTTCTTGTATGAGCTAAATAGATATTTTTAATGAAGTAGTCTAGATTAATATAATTAATAACTCATTGTGTCGGGCCAAAATTTACTGTACATAATTTTGTTTGAGGCCCCTATTAAGCTCCACATTTCAGGCAACAATAAAGCTAGTAGATTAAACACATTTTTGTCTGCTATAAGAATTAAATTAATGTACTCTATCACCAGACTTCTCCACTACCAGTATAGTCAAGATCTCTATGAAAGCATCACTGCTGCGGAACCCCTTGGTGGGAGCGTTGTCAACTGCAACGATGCACAGTTCTTTCCACATATAATGGTATTCTCTAATGTTTTATAATATCCAGTTATATTACTTTCACCCTTGTAATAATAGGAATGTAGTTTGTATTCACAAATACATCTAGTTTAAGTTTAGTATTAAAAATAAATTTCTATTACACGGCTGCAAATTAAAAAAAGCATTGCAAACAATAATAGTGAAGTTATTAGTCATTATAGTACTGTACAATATAAAATGAGAAAAAATATTTAGAATAAAGACTATAATTAAAGTTAGTGTAATGATGATCCCACCAGTGACATCTCGCTCCAACACAAGTACTCTAAGCAATTACCAAAAAGTGCCAAGTCCAGAAAGCTATGCAGGTTTCTGGACTTGGTTGTAATGTAACTGGTATTTCACACTTTAAATGAATCCATAATAAAAGAAAATTGGATATTTTTTAAATTCTTAACTTTAATGTTACAGTAATTTGTATGTAATATTTCTTCGTGAACATTCTCAGACTGCTTTGCTGTCATCCTTGTTCATTCTAGAATGCTTCAGCCTACATCATCTACATGAAGATGGAAAACTATGATGATGATTTCACCTTTCATCATGTAATGAAGGTTAGTATGCAAGTGAAAAGTACTGAAGTACTAGTAGCTTTTATTTTATTCATTGATTGGTTTAATCACATGTATAGTATTACAGTACAGTATTAATTAATGAATAATATCCTGAATCATATCATATAGAGCTTTAGTAGGTCTTTGATGACAGCCAAAACATATTGGTAAGAAAAGCACACATTAATCCAATTAAACTCTGAACTCGTTAAACTCATACTCTGAATGGCTTAAAGCTGGTAAAAGAAAGTGAGTAACTGTAGCCAGATGTAAGACTGGGGTGAGAGGTGAGGTAGTGTGGTAGCACAGGGTCCAAATATTGGCAAAAATCAGTGTCAGCTGGGTATGGTAGTGGCTCTAGTAGGTGGGGACCCCTGTGCCGCTGATGACAATCAGGTCCAGGCACAGGGTACGAGCTATGGGGTGACAACAAAAGCAGACAGCAGTTTCTGGTTTGATAAACAGGGTTTTGAAACAGTACTCAGACATACAGGGAAATCCTGTTTAGCAAGATGTGATTAATAGCCATTGCAGGCTTCACTGGAAGGGTTTTCCAACCATGAACATGGTAGGTGACAGTTCCTGGCCTGAGTACTGTAATGCCTGCGGTAGAAACAGAGTTCCCGTCTAGTGTGTATTTATTTAGAAGTTGGTGTGATAGTACCAGATAGCACAAAGTTAGGGAACTCTGGTGCTCATGAACTGGCAAAAGTAGCAACCTATAATTCATTAGGGATCGGATAAATTTTATCAGCCTTTTCAGCCAGGTCATCTAGTATCATGTTTGGGAGTACTGCCAAGAGGCCCTGGTGAGTATAGAGAGGCAGGTACTGATAGAAACAGTGCCTGGATCATGTTGTATGTACTGAAGGGGCAAAGTCGGTATCTATTCATTGCAAAAAAAACAAAAAAACAAAACAAAAAAAAGTGAACACATTCCATTGTAGAAAAGGGCAGCCTTGAGAGCATTGTACTTCCTACTAATCAGTGGATTTCTGAAAACAATGTTGACTCTGTGGATTCTATTTTTCTCTTACAGGTGGATACAGGAGTTCACAATAGCCAACTCCTGCTAGTAGGCTTAGAGCTTTCCCTTCCCATAGCTCATGTTAAACCTCACCTTACTAGTTTACCCTGGAACATGACCCACCAATTGGTTAACAACCCGGTCACAATTATTGCCGGATTAACGGGTGAACAATTAAGGATTGGTACCCCAGTCAATCCTCCCTAGCCAAGATTCAAATTCGCACAAAATCGCTAATAGGAAAGTCGTTACCATGTTCAAGTATTATTCCTCTTGTTACTGTGTGCTTTACTTATCCTTCCATCTGGCTATTAATGGTGACATACTGTTAAAGAATAATGGTATTGATCTATTAAATGTGTTGTAGTGGTTACTAGAACCATTAAGGGAAACTGGGTATCCCACAATGCAATTTCAATATTGTGATTGAAAGAAATGCATATTATTATGTACCTTATTCTTAAATAATCTGGATATGTGATCAATCATTGTACACATTTCTAGTGTTTTGGACTCGACTTGCCATTAGCAGTGGGATACTTTGAAGGCATCTTTCAGTTCACATTCCGCCACTCAAGATTACTGCTAATGGGCATCCCATATTCGCGATTCTCGTGAGCATAATTTATTTGTTTTGTTGCATGCTAAAATACATGATTAAATCATATAAGTATCACAAATTAAAAATTATTATAGCTTCACTAATCAAGATGTAGGACTTACCAGTTTTTGGAGGATATACTGTATAGCACATGAGAAATTTTAATTATGAGTTGATAGTGATCTTTGATCAAGTATAGTAATTACGACAAATACAACTTCAGTGACATGTGGGATACAGCCTAATGTAAGGAGTGTCTGTGTAAGAATACCAAACAAGTTTGTGTTGTTGCACAAACTGATAGTACTATGAGAATTCCTTTGGCAGATGAGAAAATAGCAATGATTAAAAAGTGGTCACAGAATGAGAGGAAGGCAGTAAAAGAAAATAGTATGATAGTCAAAAGTATATTTAACAATAACAGAAAAAACGAAAATGAGCATCAAGGAAAAGTCATTGGAAAGAGATTGTATCGCTGCATAAGAGTAAGGTAAACATTACAAGTAAAAATTATAAAGGACTTGGTAGATTTAAGTGATATAGGCAGCGTGGTCGGATAATGGTTGAAAAAGTACTGCATGGGAAATTGGTCAGTGATGGACAAGGTAGGGGTGAAACAGGTTATGTGGATGAGATATAATAGTTGCATGGAGATGAAGATATGTGAGGAAGATTGCAATGTACATAACCTGTATGTAATTGGAGAGAGATTGTATGTTGATAGAAGACCAGAGAGTGACGAGCATATGTGGAGATAAAAATTCATAGTATTGAATATGTGAGAAAGTGTGTTAAGAGTTAATACATCATAGAGCAACTAGTTTGATTAATATTAATGTAGATGACTGCTAGGATTTTTGTATTTACAGTGAATAGTGTGTAGAAGGAGCAAGCAACAAACATGGTACTGAGATGGTTGTACGAAATGATAGTGTCTTTGTGATAATGATAGTGATCCCTTATGTCTGAGATTGGTGTGGCATGAAGATGAAAAATCAAGAATTAGAGCAGTACAAACTGAAAATCTGAAAAGCTGTGTGATCAGTTTTTACTCTTCTTCCAACACAATGTTATAGAAATATATGGAGGGGAATAGGTAGTTTGTAAACAGCAGTTTCTCCATGAGGATGTCATCGAACTAACTTTTCATTCATTCTCCTAACAAATATTGTTTTCTTTCTTATTAGCATTTCACCCTTGTTGTTGTTTAAGATTTGCTACTTGGAACAAAAAGTTCCAAGTAGCACAGGCTATGGTGAGCCCGTAGTTTTCCATTTCACCCATTTTGTTCTTAGTTATGAGTAAATACACTATAATGCATGTTTATCTGTAATTAAAATTCTGTACTTTATATTTCAGGCCGTCTATAAAGAATGCAGATGCCTTAATTGTAGCAGATATTCCCCAGCTGTTTGTTAAGGGTATCAAAAACTATCTTGTATATAAGAATCATAACTTCACTTTTAACACAGTTTTGGTGAAACAAAATATTTTATAAAGATAGTGCTACAAAATTCACCAAAATGAGATATATATATATATATATATATATATATATATATATATATATATATATATATATATATATATATATATATATATATATATATATATATATATATAAAAATTTGTTCATGAGAAATGGATGATGGAACAATTTACGTGAAAGCACAGATGCCCGAGCTATGCAGTGTAGAATAAATCTCTGGCAAATGTGATTGTTGAACTTGGAAAAATAAAAAATGCACGGTTTTTATAGACAATCATCAAAGTTTATTTGATCTGTTCAAAATTAGTTTAATTGTAGACATCTTGGAAGACAACAGTATCTTTTGACAATTACAGTACTCTACTACTATAACTATCAAGTGTAAAAATCAAATATGAATTTAACTTTCTGAACTTTTATTCTATTAGCTGTGAACTAAAAACAGACCTGTGCAATTAAGGTATACACGAGTGTTTTATATTTAAAGACCTAGTTTTATACTTTGTTACATCACACAAGTGCTTTATATACCTGTAACTTGGGAATGTCACGTACAGTGGTTGTTTATATTGCACAGTAATTCAAGACCAATGAGGTCAAATCTGGATTTTTAACACAGGCAAAAATTACAATTAAGAGCGTGTGCAAATAGGGTTATTGTTCACCTCTTGGTGAATTTGCCAAATAGTAAACTCTGGTAAACCATGTTATGACCTCTTGATTACACTTGTCCATCACTTTCTAAAAATTGCATTGCATAGACAGGTTCTGGATAACCCTCGAGTTTTGTTCATCGATTATTAAAATCTGGTATTATTTAACCGAGGTATAAGTACAGAATTCAATTGATACTGTCTTGAGTATTTAATTTACATGATTCTGTACAGGCATCAAGTTCCATACTCTTGTAGCCTTAATTAAAATGTTTTCATATATAAATGGAATTAGAGTATTTATTGATTTATGGGTCATTAATGGGGTGAGAGATGTTCAAACATGACTTGTGTCAGAGGCAGGCAAACAGGAATTTGATGGGTATGATTTCCTGCCATTTCTTGTGTAGCTGGCTGGTCAGTATTGCCAGTCATAGATGTCACTATGTAAGGATATTCTTGATACATGTGTAATTGACTAGTTTGGAGTATTTAGATCCGATTCCTGTATTTAGTGAATTACTTTGTCTATGGGGTAATTGTTTGACCACTTATGTATTGTGTAAATAATCAGTCTTGTTTGCTGATTATGTAGTGTAAACTGGTGTAAACTAGAGGCAGCTGCCTCCACTTTTTTGTTCAATGGGCTCGTGGACATAGAGAAAAAGAGGAAGGCTGCTCTGTTAAGTTTTAGTTGTGGATTTTTGTTAGGTCATTGTAGGTAATTCTTGTCTGGCATTTAGTAGTATTATATAATTAAATATATATATATTATATATATACTGTGTATATATATATATATTATATATATACTGTGTATATATATATATATATATATATATATATATATATATATATATATATATATATATATATATATATATATATATATATATATATATATATATATATATAGTAAAGGAATGTGCTGAGCTATTGATGTTACTTATGAGCAAGTATAAAGAATTAAAGTGCACTGTACCTAGGCTCATAGCCTGTTCAAGATTTATTGATGCAAGGTTCTTCACAATATACTGAACCTTTTTCATTACCTGCAGTGTGTTAGGTGTTTATAGTTATTACTTTTGTTTAATACAGTATACTGTACTGAGACAATTAGCTGTCATGAAGAGGATTTAAGTCTGCACACTGGGTACCCCTAAGCACATACTGTAAACCACAAGACTATAATATGCAAAAGTAATCTAATCTGGGATTTAAACAAATCATCTAGGGGGGGGGGGGGGGTGCCGAGGCATCCATCAATACAAGTAAAGGTTCACACATTACCCGCATACACACTAGTGTGGTATAGGAGTTCCGTCCCCACAATGCTTTTTAAATGCACAAAGAAATCACATTAATGTGATGTATCAAGTGACAAAACCAGTAACAACCATGAAGATTCAAACCTGTAAACTAAGTACTCCCAAGCACATGCCTTAACAACCCGTTCTCGCAAATTTAATAAGTCAATATTGACTTATTTAATATGTGCATAGGTGACATACTTAAAAGAATAGATACCCTTAAAAAGATTCATAGAAAACACCGACCTTACCTTACTTAGCATGTTAAGATAAGCATCTTATTGCTTCGTAATTACAATTATTACCTAACTTATAATAGGTATAGGTTAAGTAATAATTGTAATTACGAAGCAATAAGATGCTTATCTTAAGATACTAACAAGGTTAGGTAAGGTCGGTGTTTTCTATGAATATTTTAAAGGGTATCTATTATGTTAAGTATATCACCTATGCACGTAGTTAACACTTTCGCGCTTTCCGCAAAGGTCACTCAGCCAACCGAATGTGCGCGCAGCGTTTTTATCGCTTAAGCGTAAAAACAAAAATGTGTATACTCTTTTTACTCTTCTGACCTTAGTTCTCATGCTACGTATTTCATTTTGGTACCAACGTGTTCGCAATAAAATTCTCTAGAAGAACATCAGTAAAAAAAGTCACGAAACGTATAGGGATACCAGCACCAAATAAATAACTACGAAGATGACTCGCCGTGAGCGCCCATCAGCAACAAAATGTTTTTACTCTTGGGATTGTAATCACCTCCACACTTATTCTACAGCGTTAATTTTGGTATCAATGGACTCGCAATGAAATTCCCAACACGGTGATATGAATATAAGCGTAGAATAATGATGCGGCCCGCCCGCAAGAGTGTGGGAAGTGGTGAAATTGTTACCCGGTATCGGTGACGGGACGACGCACGGCGCTTTGAAAGATTATACTTATTTCACTCTCATGACATTAATTTTCTATGTACGTCATTCATTTTTGTGTCAATGTGTTCGCAATAGAATGTTCTATGTGCCCATAGGTAAAAAATATCAACAAAGCGTAAGTTAGAATAGCGCCAAATATAAAACAACGCTGGAACATATCAGTGAGCGTCAAACACACACGAAATGTTTTTACTTTTGTTATGTTTGTCAAGTTTATACTTGTTGCACACAGTTATTTTTGGTTGTATATTGATCGGAATAAAATTCCCTAAACAGACATATGCATATAATACATGATATGGGGGAAGCATTACCAGTATAAACGGCTAAAGTCACCCACCTGCAACCCGTTTGGGACAAAATACCATTTGATCGAAGTTATCCACACCTTTCATGAACTTATTGTACCATGCAGCCTAGTGGTGAGAAAGAGAGCCTCATAGCGCGCAGTTTGAAACAAACCCAAAGTAAATCGGATAAAAATTGAATTTTATACAAATATTTTAAAAGAGGACTCAACTTTATGTCCACTATGCGTTAGCGTTAGACGAAACGGGACGCGCCGGCGCGTCCAGATAGCGCGAAAGTGTAAGTCAATATTGACTTTACGAATTTGCGAGAACGGGTTGTGCCTTAAACACCTAGACTACAGTTACATTAATGTGATCTTTGTGCTTTTGAAAAGGAGCATTGGGCCACACCAGTGTATGCAGATGATGCATGAAACCCTGATTTGTTATCGGTGGATGCCTTGTGACACTAAGAGGATTTGGTTGAAACCCAGGTTGCATTACTTTTCCATATCGTGGTTCAATGCTATAAGGAGAGTGCGGGTTCAAATTCTCATGGCTCTTATCGATTTTCTCAATAATCACAGCTGTGTAGATCCAGGAAGCTTAGTGGACACCTGACATGTACCTGGTGCACACTCTTGTCTCAAATATTTCACACACAACTCTTCTTTGTCACGAGCCAGGAGAGGCTCACTTTTGACGAGTACTGTATGTGGGTAGCTTGTTAAAACTCTGATTTGTTATCAATGGATGCCACATGACCTGAATAAAATTCAGTAGAATCCAAGGTCCCATTGTGGTTCAGTGGTTTACGGCATGTGCTTGGGAGTACCCAGTGTGCAGGTTCGAATCTTCATGGCTCTTTATTTTCTTATTTGATACATCACAATGTGATTTCCTTGTTCAATAATTATACTGGCATTTTTTTTAATTATTGCACAAAAAATCACATTGTGATGTATCAATGAGAAAATCAGTTAGGAGCCATGAGGATTCGAACATGCACACTGGATGCACCTAAGCCCATGCCTTAAAGCACTGGGCCACTATATGCAAAAGTAATGTAACCTGTGGTTCCAATGGATCTAGGGGTCCTGACACATCCACTGATAACAAATCAGGGTTTCACTTGTCACCCCGCATACACTCTATGGGGTAGAACTACACCACACTAATGCTTCTATTTAAATACATGATACAACTAATGAAGCATCTGGTTTATGTGTAACACACCCCAGTAGCTAACAAATGTGTCATTCATTTTCACTCACTAATTGGTGGCCATGGTTGGTCATCACTAAATAACATTAGGTCAACCAGACAGTGATCTACACAATGTCCTGTTGCATAACCTGTGTACACCAAAACTGTTCCAAAATATACCACAGCATTTTATTCAACATGTGTTTTAATCAAATGATTTTCACCATAATATGTAACCTATTTGACTCTTATCAAATGATGAAAATTAACAAGAATTTAGTAAATATTATGTTACTGAATAATCTTATATACAAGATGAAAACATTGTACTGTACTTGTATGGTTATCAATAGTTCAAGCAGTGGTTGCACCTTGGTCCCAAGGCATAATATTTGACCTACTTAGAACCACGAGCAGTAACTTTCTGATGCAGGAGTTCATTCTTATTAATTTCCTGCCCAAGTAAATGCACAATCTTGGCATACTGTCGGTTTAGTTCCTGTAAGCGACTCAGTTCATCGCTAAGAGCATTCCGGTGAGCTCTCTCTTCTGCATGTCTACGCTCAAGCTGAAAATAAGAATTACATAGGTAAACCAAATGGTCTAGGGCAGGGGTGGCAAACCATTTTGAGAGCATTTGGCCAAAATGGCAATAATCTTAAAAAAAAAAAAAAAGGGAACTTGTGTCCATGGAAATTATAATTTGTGGCATAAAATTTATTATTTTTATATTATCTTAAATCGTATTAGATACTGAATTGTCTTGAAATTTCACTAGTAACAGGAATACCTGGCCATGCCCGGGTCTCCCTCCTCCCCCTTTCCCCTCTCCTAATCTCCCTTATGTCTGTGTATCCCTCTGTCTGTTTTTCAGTATGTACCATATTCCTCTCTCTACCCTGGTCAACCTGGTCTCTCTGCAGGCCTAGCTCTGTCTCTGATACAGAGACAGCATATATATACACTGGTGTATATCCTCTGGTCATTCATAGTAAAAGCCCTGGGGCCAGATTCACAAAAGCACTTACGAACCTGTACATCTTTTCTAAATCTTTGGCAGCTTTGTTTCCAATTATTAAACAGTTAATGAGCTCCGAAGCACCAGGAGGCTGTTTATAACAATACCAACAGTTAAATGGGAAGTTTTCATGCTCGTAAACTATTTAATAAATGTAACCAAAGCCGTCAAAGATTGAGGAAAGACATAAACGTTCATAAGTGCTTGCGTAAGTGCTTTCGTGAATCTGGCCCCTGGACAGCTGCACATGGAGCTACTATTTGCCCACATCCGAGTGAAGCACAAGAAGTGCCACAAAAGACCACCAGAAAGACACAACACCTCTCCCACCAATCAAGTGTGAGGGTCCAACAGAACCCTTGCCCAGCCTCCAAGGAAAAAGAGGGAGATAGCCAACCAGGAGGAATCTCATCGCAGATAATAAGCCCAAAAAATAATAAATTAAGTGTTTAGAAGTGGCTAATAGTAATGCTGAGGATGGAAGTTCTAGTAGATCGAATAAGCCCCTTTGTTACGAGGTAAGGCTGGGATAACTGAAAGAATTTAATAAAAAATGTATAATTGTATTATCAAATATAAATTTGGCAGTTTTGTATTTGTTGTTGGCAGAATTGGAATTTGATTTATTTTGGGAACCTCCCAAGCATGAAGTGAATAATTAGCATCTTGATAAATTACTTTATATAATGAATGTGGTAATCTTTCAATGAATAATGACAGCACCATCATCAAAAGAAAAATTTAATCCCTGCATGGCACATAGGACCTTAAAGCACTCAACTGGTGGTACACACACAACACCAAATGCCGTTTTTAGGTATGAAGAACAATTCAAACTCCCGTGGGGGTATATAGGGGCTTACATCCTGTGCCCCAGGACTCCAATAAACTGATGCCCTCTTGAAAAAAATAATCTGCATCCCTCATGGTTGTGAGAGCTTCAGTATTGAGTGAGCAACCAAGGCTGGTGCACGCAGCAGGAGCTCACAACACAGCTGTGCAGGTTGGGGCCACACCACCACCACTTTATAATGAAAATAAGTAACTGCAATTATTTTATGATGACAGTGTCACAGATGATAAAGGTTACAATAAAAAACTATGTACAAGGTTCAGATACTGGTGAACACAATGCTAGTTATGATGTTCACAGCAGGAGGCAGATAGACCTTTCAGAGACAATGAAATAATTATGTAAAAATATCATTGCGGCAACTCCCGCCACACGGCAGGGATGGAGCAGACTGATTGTAACAACTGTTCTGTCAACACCTATTTATTGCCAGACTTCCTTGGCCCATCACTGCCAAAGTATGTCACATACAATATTTTTGGTTTCCCCGTGATCAGGGAATACAGTTTAACAATATCAGTAAGAAAAAAATTGGAGGAGGTGGGGGATTTTTTTTATGTGCACCATGGGATTGTCATATTAAACTAACATGCAGTGTACGAGTTAACTTACCTTTTGTTTATTTTGTCTAATGCCTTCGACTATGGTATCCAACTGTTGGAGATATTCGTCCATGTTAGCGGTGTTGCCCAGAGCCCTGAGGAGCATAGTATCACAGCTTATTGCTCAAGTCAAAGTCAAATCAAGTTACATTTAATCAAATTTACCTAATACTATACATAAAATTTGAAATGCAAATAACCATTCATTCTACATTTCTTAAGATTAGAAGCTTGAATGCCTTAACAGAAGCAGGCGTCTAGGCTTTGTTGCCTGAAATGTAGAAGGCCTTCCTTGGAATGCTTCAATAGCATTCTAATTGTATATTTGGAAACAAATATTGCATAATGTGATTTAAACAGCTGTGTCTAGAATGAAAAACAATAATGTTGCAAACTGGGGTCAGGTTTGCCAAGCTAAGTATCTGTAACTGCCACATGATTTGCATACCAAAATAGCATTTATAACAGCAAAAATTTATGTAGAAATTAGGAAATAATTAATTTTCAGGTACAGTACTATAAAAATGTAGTATTGTACATTTATTTTTGTGAAGCCGACTATTGTAAGCTGTCTCCTAGCAGTGACAGTTTGTAATAATAATAATAATTTATTATACTCGCCTAATTGTGCTTGCAGTTGTTGAGCTTCAGCTCTTTGACAGGCGGGACCAATCACCTGGCAAGCTTAGAATTATGTCGGGGGACAGGCAGCCAAAGTGTATTTGTACATGCTAGGCTTATATTGAGGCCCCCTCCCCTCCCAGGATGCAACCCCACAACAAGCTGACTAACTTACGGTAACCTACTTACTGCTAGGTGAACAGGTGTATTAGGCGATTGGAAATATACCCAACCATTTCTCTGTCGCCCGGGATTTGAACCTGGAAAACTCGCCTGCAATTTGAGAACAAACTCGACTGTACCGGGACTCTTTACCTGGTACACTGTTCTCCTTTTTCTCTGTTCTTATGTTTCCCCCCCCCCCCCCCCCCCCCCCCCCCCCCATGAAAGTCAGCAAGTGCAGGAATGTCATGTTGACCAGACCGCACACACTAGAATGTGAAGGGACGACGACGTTTCGGTCCGTCCTGGACCATTCTCAAGTCGATCGACTTGAGAATAATAATAATAATAATAATAATAATAATTTTTATTTAGGTAAGGTACATACATAAAGAGATTTTACAAAGTTTGTTGGGTTAATAGATAGAGCTAGTACATACAATGCCTAAAGCCACTATTACGCAAAGCGTTTCGGGCAGAATGGTCCAGGACGGACCGAAACGTCGTCGTCCCTTCACATTCTAGTGTGTGCGGTCTGGTCAACATACTTTAACCACGTTATTGTGACTCATCGCCTGCACAGGAATGTCATCATATGTTGACATTCCCCACAACTTCCATTGTCAACACGTTACTTTTAAATATTTTTCTTGTTCTGCCTATTGCTTCACATGAATATATAAAAGCTTATACTCTTACTTGAAAAATATTTACAGACAAGTGCAAAAAAGGTCAATACATCAAATCCATTTATACAATTTTCCTTCATCCCCCAATGTACAAATTATAATGACCAGATTCACCTTCCAATTTTTTTTACTCTACTAATATTTTCAGCTAAATTGCAAGGAGAGAAATTTTAAAACATTAAATTCTCTATTTTAGTAAATTATCAGACAATTTAATTCACTATTTTAGTAAATTTTCAAAGCTGTCAAATTATTGAACGGATTAAAGAAAAAAAATAGTTTAATATTTGTTGTTGGTCTTGACACCTGGAGCCAGGCACGGGAACCAGTTAGGTTATTTAATGCCAAATGGGAAGACCAAATGCCACATTAGGTTGAACCAATTAGGGCAGTTTAATGTTTCTCATTTAGCCATGATGAGTGATGGGGTCTTACACTTCAACAAGCCTGATGGGAAACAAAATTTACCAGGCACAGCTGTCACTTTGCCCTTAATACTGTATGTGTAAAGTTTTACTGAACTGTTCCTAAACCAAATAGAAATCCAAATCTGATAAAAGTGTGCAGCAAACCCCCACAAAAACTGTATTAATAACAATAACAAATAACCTAAGGCAAGAGTTAATAACAATACATTACTTACACACAGAAATCACAATAGCGTGATGCATCAAATGAACTAATCCACAAGGGCCGTGACGAGGGTTCGAAACTACGTCCGAGAGGATCCCAGATGATTTCCCGGTTGCAATTCTTATACCATGTCGTAGCTCAGTTGATTAAGGCAGCGTCTGGGATCCTCTCTGACATAGGTTTGAACCCTCATCACGGCCCTTGTGGATTTGTTCAATATATTACTTACATTGCCATGTTATCAAGTATTGAATTAAGAAGGGAGAGTTCCTTCTCCATGTACGTGCGAGTGTCTGCGAGTGTGTTGTACATGTTATAGAACTGCTGTGTCTCCCGATGGGTGGCAGCAACTACAACACAAGAATGCAAATATAAAAAATCATTCATTAAGCCGACAGACAACTGGATGCAGTAAGTGTATTGTATTATAAAGTAAGTAAAGTAAAGATGCAGTAAGATGTATAGTATTACAGTACATTAAACATGAATCACTGTAAATATTAAGTAGCAGCTGAAGACGTAAAAGAATTCTCACATTAAGCGCTTAGGATGTTAAGACACTGGTGCAATAGTCTAATTCAACCAAATATAAATGAAGGTCAAAATAAATTATTAGCATCCATTTTTGTAAACTGCATTTACCATACCTATACCTCAAGCTTACACAAGATACAATTATTGATAATTTGATTATCTTTGATTATCCTTAATATGCCATTTAAACAGCTTAAGACCAGTGTACCCCATGATTATTTCTGAAGCCAACCACAGGTGTACTATACTGTACATGTATTCTTTACAAAGAGGGGATTAAAAATCAAACTTGTGTATTCCCTCTCATACAGTCTCAAACAACATACTGTAAGCGTGTTTACCTTGTTAAACTTTCATTACATAATGAGGATAAATGTGGTTTCAGGTCGTAAGACAGCACCTTAATGTTTTGTACTGCATTAGAAATGTACAGCTTTTACACTGCACACGTGTCTTTCAATCTACAATGATATACAGTATTATCCTTTGCTCCCAGCATGTGTGTGCGCACACATGTGCTTCCAGCATGCATGCATGCACACCTGCTCCCATCACACGTGTGCACACCTGCATAGTCCCATTAATATTCACATCACCTACAACAATGATTCTAAACTTTCTTGATATAATACCAATATCTCTAAACTATCCAAAAAACTGCTTGTTTTTTGTAGTAGTAGGAGGCAAATTACAAGTCTCATTCATCCTAAGACTGTGCATCAAAAGACTAAATCACCCACCCTGGTTGTACAATTCTATAAATCTTCGTTGATATTGTGAAAGCTCAGCTCTGCCAGGTACATCATCAATATATCTCTTTAAAGCTTCAACTTGTCTGGTCTTCTTGGCTAACTGACGTCTCATCTTAGCATACTTCTCCTTCTCCACATTGTAGCGTTCTGTCACTTCATCTCCAACATCTATCTCCTTGAGTTGTGTCTGGAGATTACTGAAAATGTGTCAAATATTAACTAGGTAAAACTGGCAGAAAGCACAAAGTAATTCATTGGTTATTAGCATTAAAAAAAAAGTCATCTTTTGTGAACAACAAGCAAAGAAACGGCATTTATCCTTAACCATAAGGAGTTGACTATGCTTCTATCCTCAAATGTACATACCTAAATTGATTCAGTAAAAATATAAAAAAAAATTAGTATATAAAGCTGTTGATCTCTATGTTAAAGTAAGGAAAATACCCAAAAACATGGCATCATATACAGTACAGTATATACTCCACCTTTGTGCTGGCCTGGGGATATCTGTGCTACCAATTAACATCATATAATATTCACTAAAATTTATTCAACAAATTATATATGCCATACCGTATACATATGTATGAAGTTACAGCTCTTGTATGTAAAAACAAATATAAAAACAAATATCTTCTTTTGTTGGCCTGGAAAGTGTGTACTATAAATCAAGAGTTAACTTACAGAGCGAGCCAAAAATTAAGGGTAAATGCTCATATTCTCATCTCATCACATCTAAAAGCTATACTGTACCTGATTTCCTTCTTCATCTTTTCAGACTCCCTGCGGCATCCATCTTTAAATTCGGTTTCTTTCTTCCTGGCTTTTTCATTTTCTTCAACTAGGTGTGATAATCTTTTCACAACTCTGAAGGAAAAAAAAAATCATTTATGTTTGTTGATAATCTAAGTTACACATTATATATAATTGTTTACATACATCAATATATTTTGAAACTACAGTACTGTAGTACAAATGTACGAACACACAGGAGTTGCCGCCTGAGGTAAGGTGCCACCCTAGGCGAGGTGATGTCACACCGCCTCGACCTCGGTACACTCAACCCGCCTGATTAAGACTAACTTCTTTGTCATGGCTCTTAGGATCATACAAGATAGTACCATCACAGTATGCAGGCGATGAGTCACAATAACGTGGCTTAAGTATGTTGACCAGACCACACACTGGAAGGTGAAGGGACGAGGACGTTTCGGTCCATCCTGGACCATTCTCACTCCTGGACCTGGACCACATTCACAATCGACTTGAGAATGGTCCAGGACGGACCGAAACGTCGTCGTTGTCCCTTCACCTTCTAGTGTGTGGACTGGTCAACACCATCACAGTATCATCAAAGTAGCATCATCATCATCATACTTAATTTTCAATTTTGAAGCAGTGAGGTAAGTAAGTAAGTAATTATCAAAAGAAGGCACCAAACCGGGAAGGCTATGTAGCACCATCAAATGTGCAGAATAATCAGAGGGCGCTAAATATCACCAAGGATGCCAATACGAGAACAAAAACGCATAAGGCGAACAATATCAAAAGTATCCGAGTCACCAAGAATTCTATTGAGGGACAGGTGACCGCGAGGGGCGGTCGGAAAGCAAGACACACGCTCGTCCTGGAAGTCAGGACATTCAAGAAGGACATGCACGACCGTAAGAGGGACAATGCAATTAGGACAATAAGGAGCAGGGCGCTGCTCCATCAAGTGACCATGGGTTAAGCGAGTATGGCCAATACGCAACCTCGCCAGAGCTGTTTCCCATCGCCGGTTACCACTTCATACAGCTATACTGCTTCCTGTGATTTATTACAAATGTTAAATAATCATTTATGTACATTATGGGGGTGCATCCTGGGCAGGGTCAGTAATTCGACATTGGTGGTGGGGAGAGGGGGTGCTCAATATAAGTCTAACGCGTATGAACACATACTGGTTTCCTGTCCCACGACACAATTATTATTATTCAACATTTTGTCTTATGCTTCCTTCACGCCCTGAAATGCCATATACACTTCCTAATCTTTCATGTTCCTAATATTCATTAGCTCTCGCCTAAGGAAATACTTGATCAATACAACCTCCTCCACTATGTGTCCACTTCAGTACAGGATTGCCCTTTGATTACAGCAAATATAATACAGTACTGTGCTGTGTTCTAATAAATCTCAACCTACTGTTTATTTTCACTCGAGTCCACAATGCCCAATTCAACATTTTTTGCTTCAAGTTCTTTTCTTTCTTGTATAATTTCTTGTAATCTTAATTTCATTGCTTCAACCTTGGCTACTTGAGCAGCTTGCGTAGCTTCCACTTCCGACAACTGTGAGGATAAAGATGCACGCTGCTTCTCAAGCGAGGCCACCATACGAGCCTGAGAGGAAGCACTATCTCCAAGGATTTCCTCCTGAAAGCAAAAAGGCATAATGACAGTATCCAGTCAGTGCAATATCAATACATAGCATGTTCAATACTCATGAGTTTATACAAGTATAGTTCATTCTCAATCCTACATGGTAATTGGTTCTTAGAAAACATCCATATAAAAAAAAATTGTTTAAGGATCTTATGGACTACTGTATCTCTCTTCTAATAATACTTTAATCACATTTTCTAATATTTAACAGCAGTTAGTTCAATGGCAAATTTTTATCAAATTTGATGTGAATTCACTTGCCCACCATAAGTTACCTATCTGAATTAACTTTGCGGAGTAACTGGAAATAAGAAAAACTTACCGTTATTTGTTGTTGAAGGTGTGAATAGTGTTGAGAGGTGGCAGCAATCTCCTGTACCCTGGCACTGACAATGTTGCCCACATGTTGAGCACTTAGCTTGCCCTGTAAGTGTATAATCATTACAATCAATCGAAGTCTTGAAAGTCACAGGAGGCCTGGTCGACGACCGGGCCGCGGGGACGCTAAGCCCCGGAAGCACCTCAAGGTAACCTCAAGGTAAGGTAACCACACCAATCATTTTAGTGCCAAACTAACAGTGACCTAAAAGTTCTATGCTGGAGTATACAGTGTGTGTGATCACAATATATAACAGAATATGCTGCACTTCACTGCAAGGTGATTTTTGTCTAAATTAAAAAGACAGCTTTTTAATGTATATTATGTTCCATCAATACTATTTAAATGGATTTTAAGTATTATATGAGGTAATTATTTTTGTTTTAAACTTTGCCTTTTGTAAATATATGTACAGCAACGTGTTGGATTTGTACACTAATCATAAAATTAGATCAAATGTTTCTAGACCAATAGTTTTCAAACTTTATAGATAATATTCCTTTGTTTGTCTTTGTAGATGATATGAAGGAGGCTCAGAAAAATATTTAACATGCAATAGAAAACTTCACCAAATATGTGCCACTCAATTGAACCCAGAGGAAATCTGTTGTGGAATGTCAAATATAGTGTCATCTCCTCACACCGATGGAATGGAATAACATTTTTGGTTTGAGGGTTAAACCCTAAAACCAGTAGATCATTCAGTGCTCTAACACTGATGGATTCCTACTTATCTATGGCCAAACACATTAATTTGTGGTTTGATATTCTCACATTCTACAAACTTTCAGTGATTATATGTAAATTTTAAAATATATTTAACTTCTTTCTATCATTTAGGCCTCCATTTTATCTTTCAATCTGGGCTTGTATTACTGCTATAAAAAGATCATTGTGTACTATGGCATCTTTAGCGACCATCACACTTTTACCACCAATTGTGTTAGAAACTACCAATTATACTCGTCTTCCTAAATCTATCTTCCCTTTTAAAAGGTTCTCTCTATTATCTGTGAAATATTCATACATCTTACCCCCCTTGGCAATTCTTATGTTTTCAAAAATATATATATATATTTTTTAACACCTTGTAATGAGGTTAAAAAGCAACAGCATTTATCCCACTTTCATTAACATTTTAATAAAGTTACATAAACAAGCATTTTGCAAGAACAAAATTATGGAAAAACTTAGTAGGGACTCAAGATGCACTCACCTCCACGGCCTCGGCAACATCCATGCTTTGCATCAGCTCCTCCACTTCTGCCATCTGCTATTAGTCAACACATTCAATAAGAATACTGTACAACAACAAGGTAGTAGTCTATTGTTATCCAAAATTCTCTAAATGGTGTAATCGAGATTAATCACTACAAAACACACCGAGTTTCTTCTTATGAGCGTAAGGTGTTATAATTGGTTTATCATTTTCGAGGCCACGGAGACTTATCAACATTTTCCTACCCGATGGAAAGGTCGACTACTTGGTCACCCAACCACTCACTGGCTAGCATTTCGGGCAGTATACTTTGATATTATTCATCAGTAAACAAAATAAAAGCTATATAATTTTTATGATATACTGTACCTTAATATATTAAGCATGATAATTCTAAAACATACTCCACTTCTATAAAACAAGTCTAATAAAATACTGTATGTCAGTGGGAACCCTAGAGTAAAAGCATGATAGTGTAAAATATAACAAATGAAGTCAACATTAATGAAATTGTGTGTAAAGAAATAAAAGTGAGAACAGGAGATGTTGTGTAATCAAGGTACACACAGGAAGGATGGCTAAATAAGCAAATGGAGTCAAAATGCTTACACGACAGCAGCAGCTAATGCAGGAAGGATGCACTACACTTAAAAAATAAATATACTTCACATATTCTTTAGTTCCAAAATGATTCTCATGTATTAGAAAAAACACCAACAAATATTAATAATGTAACCAACTAAAATTTGCAATAAATCTGGACAATATAGTCCAGGATAACTGGTTTTATTATAAATACAAAAACAGAGGGACAGAAGCATAGCATCAAAGGTAAACTATAAATCACTACTCAGCACTAAAACCAGAAGGTATACAGCACCTCACTCCTGCCAGTATCAGCTTCATCTTCGTCTCTCTGCGTGCAAGGGAGAAAAATATCTTTTACGAGGTCCAGTAATTAAACAATGTATCTGACACTATATAGGGTCGATACAATGTTTATGTATGTATATGCTTATGTGTATGCCTGTGCATGTATAAGTGCATATTTATAAAATGCAGCTGAAATTTTTTTTTTTACAACCCCATTAAAATTCTCAGTCCAGACATCTTTTGAGCATTTAATCCAACTTAGAACATGCTAATATTGTACAAGTTTAACTACTTTTTTTTTTTTTTGTTTACACAAATTTTCTTGAGAAAATCAGGAGGATCTGAACCTATGCTTTTGGTACTCTCATGCAAACAATGAAGACCACTACAACACGACATTGTCAAAAGCAGTACAACCCGAGACTCGACTAAATCTAGGGTTCCCGAGGCTTACACTGAAGCCTAACCAGGGTATCACACATTGCGCCCCATGCACTCCGGCTTGTAGTCTAGGAATTGTACCTCCTACACTTCTCTTCAAATACACAAAGAAATCAGGAAGCTTCAGTAACCTTAGAGGATTCAGTTGAATCCCAGGTTGTATTGCTTTTGACCATGTCATGGTGTAGTGGTTTAACGTGTTTGCTTGGGAATAGTCAGAGAGCACAGGTTCAAATCCTCCTAATGGTTCCTAACGATTTTCTCACCGATACGTCATATTAATGTGATTTCTTTGTGCATTTCTTGACAAATTTATGACAATTTATGACATTTATTTATGATATTATTTATGACAAATTTATATATATATAGCTATAGCTAATAAGAAATACAAATTTGATAATTGCCAAGACGGACATGATAAATCAATCAAGTGGCAAGGTGAGTGATACATACGGTACCAGGAAGCAGATATATTATTGTGATCAACCTTATCTGCAGACATCTCTAACATATATAAAATGTCTATGATTGATTGATTGATGAAGATTAAGCCACCACAAGAGGTGGCACAGACATGAGTAACCCGTAGGTGGTAGATGTATGGAGTGAATGTGGTCTTTGGTCGTGTAGCATTTTGAAACGTGTCTGGGCATGAAAATGTCAATAGATTTCAATGCAAATAATGTTTATCAATGCATCATATTAGTATATTCTTTGTAAGTTAAAGAGCTTTATATCATCCTTATCAGCAATTAATATAAATATTTACCCTAAAAATATATATTGAATTCTTTGAAAACCTGAATTGTATATTTACCTTGCTCCCAAATCCTGCATTATTCAGCTGTCCATACTCCAACAGCGTAGTCTGTACACGCATGCTTGGCGATTCCAGTGGGGTTGATGCTTTCCTTCGCCACCTCCGCTTTGGACCATATGCCGACTAAAACGAACAGTGAAATCACAAGAACTTTATTTATATGTCAGAAAACATTAGGACTACATGATGGTGTTTAACTAGAATCTTCAACTAGAATGTTAGCGTTATAAAAAATGTTTTATGTAGAATGAATATTCATGAACTGGCTACTTCATTCTTACTTTTTGCATTATAATCAACCAATATATAATTACAGTCCTGTACTGTTATTACACATCAAAATGCAGTGTTGTACATGGCACACAGAACTAGTCCCCCCAAATACAAACTTGAACTGCAGATAATGTCTGGGTAGCTTTGACTAAGGACTCCTTTAACTTTTCTTCTCGAGGAGTACAGTAGTAATGACGAAACTGGAGAAGAGAAAAGTTCCGAGTCTCGTCGCCAAATTCTTCCCTCGTTTCAAGTGCCTTTTTCACGAGCCACTGAGAAAGAGAGAATTGCTCATACATAAAGCAAAACAGAATTATGAAAAATATAGAAAACATGAATATATTTACGAACATATTTATTATATTTACGAATTTACGAGCAACAGGGTAAGACTTGAGAATGTGGCAAGACCTAAAAATTATGCTGAATTAGTAACATCACAAGCCAGAGACCTTTATTTGATATCATTACATACCTTTACTGTAGTTACATTGTACAACATTCATTAAATCTTTAGCCTTCTTTCACTATATCATTCACTTTTTTCTCTGGTTTGATGACTTTCCGGCCAATGAGTGAGAAATGCAGTACAGGCATTGATAAGAACATTAAAGAATGAGAACTTTGCAAATAGTGTGTATGTCATTCTGAAAGATGGAAATGTTGCAAAAATGTTAATGTTTTTCATATACTATAAACATATCTGAAGAGCCTTCCTAAATAATAAGCATAAATTTTCCTTACAAAGGTTTTACTGCACTGCTGCTTTACAATAATATGAATACATATACAATTGCATTTGCATTATACACACAACTTAACTAATAGGACACAGCAGTAAAAGTATATGGCCACAAATGCCTCATATATGCTTATGGTTAAATCAAATTTTAAGTTTTCAATTGCAATATACACAAGAAAGGTATGCTATATACCTTTCTCAGAGCCTAACCTCAAACAGCACTTTTTTTTTTTTACCTCACAATTAACCCACTTTCTACTCTCATAGGGAAGGCAAGCATTGGCCTGGAATAAATAAGAGCAATGCAGTTAAAGGAGATTAAGATATTCCAAAGACACCCCCCATCTACACACTACATAGAGAAGCAACACATACACTCTGCACCATCACACACCAGTAAAACATTAACAGCAACCCCACTTCCCTCACCTGGTGCTTCACACAGCTATATTTCAAGTACAAACCATAAACTGTCTTTTAAAAATGTCAAACATTCACTCGCTTGGACACATTCCGTTTAGACTCATTCCCGACCACTCTTGTGCGCTGTTCACATGCCACATTACCTCACTCTCTCACTCATTGTCTATATCATCTTTTCTCCTACATACAAGTTACCCCTGAACTCATTGTCATTCTATTATGTACACCCATTCATTAAGTATGACAAAACAAACACTAAACTCTCCATACTCTTGATGTTCACAATTTCTGCATGCCACCATTCCACATTTTCATTTCTATCACTTCTAACACTCCAAATGTATTCAACTCTCTTTAATGCTACAATAATTGTGTTTGGTACTGTAGTGTTAATAAACACTAAAATAATGAGGAAGAAACATTATATTCATTAAACTGCATTATGAAACCTTAACAGCCTTGTCTATACACGCATACTATTTATTTTTTAAAACAAGATATGATTACTGTATTCTTGGTTCTAAAATTCCTGCATGAAATCAGGAGTTAACCCTTCCACTGCGCAACACGGCTGGGGTTGATCTCACTAATTATCTGTAACCTGTGCAACATGGCTGGGAAAGTTTTAAAAGTACTAAATCAAATTTAAAAGTTCCACTGGTACATGGGACTCACGTACGCATCCTCTCACCTCCAGTAAGCAGAGGCCATCATGGGGGATAAAACTGTGGGCCATATTTGTGTGAAACTGTGTGCGACTCTCCTGGGTACGAGAGTCTCAGTACTAAAAGGGCAACCATGAATATCACAAGCAGCAGCAGCAGCAGCTCACCACTGACACACAGTATGTGCCCACAACACCACTTAATAATGATGAAATAAGGACAGTAACTGCGAATTGCTTAATGACGATAGTGTCACAGAAGATCCTGATTGTAATAAAAACAATGCACAAGGTTCAGATGTCAGTAAGCCCAAATGCAGGTTATGATGTTCACAGCATGAGGCAAGACATCCACAGCACAAGAATTGACAGAGCAGATAAGGATAAATTATGTAACACGGGTTGGTACTCTCACAAGGAGACAGGTGAAAACTGAGTACCTAAATGAGCCAGAGACATTAAAAAACCTTTTCATTGTCAGTAGTTAATAGATAGAACGTATTAGGAAGTGATGTGGTAGAGACAGACTCCATACACAGTTTCACATGTAGATGTGATATAAGAGCTCGATAAGCTAAGGAACTTGTACACCAGTAGACTGATAGTCGAGAGGCAGGACCAAAGAGCTAAAGCTCAATCCCCACAAGCACAACTAGACAAATACAACTACGCGAGCACACAGCTATAGTTTGACACATCTACACATCATGAAATGGGACTTCAATGTTTCTTTAGAAAATAAACTTGTGGAAAATAAATCATATTAAGGATTCAGTGACCAGGATTCTGATAATAGCAGTATTGTGGCTAGAGTTAGCAAAGTACCTCATAATATATTGAGAGGTATTTTCGCTGTTGGGTGGCATCAGTAACCGACTAGCATGTGCTCATTGAGAAAAGAAAGAACTTTTTTAGTGTCAGAGTGGTTGACAAATGGAATGCAATAGGGAGTGATGTGGTGGAAGCTGACTCCATACACAGTTTCAAGTGTAGATATGATAGAGCCCAATAGGCTCAGGAACCTGTACATGGTAGACGGTTGGAACAAGTTAGGGGAGAAGGTGGTGGAGGCCAAGACCGTCAGTAGTTTCAAAGCGTTATATGACAAAGAGTGCTGGGAAGACGGGACACCACGAGCGTAGCTCTCATCCTGTAACTACACTTAGGTAATTACCTGTTGATTGACGGTTGAGAGGCGGGAGCAAAGAGCTAAAGCTCAACCCCCCGCAAGCACAACTAGGTGAGTACATGTTAGTTGCTTAGTATCACAAGATTACCAAACCCACCAGAACTGCTTGCATAAAAATGCAGTTGTTATATATAACATGTGCATAAAATGTAATAACAGTAAAAATAGTACGTTTCATTGTTCAAAGAAAATAATATTGTGTGCATATAATATAATATTGTGACATGAATATATCTGTGTATTTTACAAGTTCTGTGATCCAAACAACATTAACAACCCAATGCATCATTGCACTAGAAAAACCAAGATAAAAGCATTAAAAATACCAAGAAAACATAATATATTTAATGAGTGCAGTTACAACTTCATGCAAAAGATTGAATGAAGATTGAAAGAAGTTGCTAGGTTGAACTCTGAGAACTGGGTATGAGATTATTACACCTACCCGAACTACTTAGTGGTTTGCACAAGTGCATGAAAATGTAGTTATATACATAAAGTGTGCTTACAGCATAATAACAGGAATACAGTATGTTTTACTGTTCCAAGAATATAAAATGAGGTGCATATTTGTGAATTCTAATGTTCTATACATTTTATCATGTAAATTTCTCAAATGATACACTAAATGCAACTACTAGAAAAAAAAATTAAATCACACACACATTGAAATAAATATGAAATAATATCTCTGAGGCAATTCCCACTCCACACCTGGCCCTAGGTGACCTTCATGGAACGATCGCTTTATGAATGCTCACGAATCATGGAATCATGACATCGAAGAGATTTCTTTGCGTCCCCCATGGTCAAAATAGTAAAAATCAAATTTCTTACTTTTCCCAGTGATCAGCGAATGCATTTTAACAATATTAGAGAGAAAAAATGTATTAATTATTTCTCACTCACTAGTCATAATCTCATAAATAGGGATGCAGCCCCACTTAAGGCACTACGGGCTCACCATAGCCCGTGTTGCCTGGAACTTTTTGTTCCGGGTAGCCAATCTTTAACAACAACAACAAGCAGCCCCACGGGTTAAACAAAGTGTCATTTTATGTACCTGAATTACTGGAAAAATGTGTATAGCATCAAGTCCCTGGATCTGGTGAGGCTCTAACTGATGTGGACACTTCATGGACCGCAAGACCCGCACAATTCTCTCCGTTAATGCTCTGCAAAGTGGATTGGCCTTATACTTTAAATGGCGCTCTTCAGTATAAGCATATAAAATAGATACAAAATGTAACAAAATTGTTAAAATTACTTGTACATTATATTTATAGCACAGTATTTACATACCCATTAACAGAACATTTCATAACATTTATGAAAAATATCACAGGACCTACACATTCAAGATTTATGAGGGTTATTTATTAAAAAAAGTCAACAAACAATATGTTCTAATGGACCTAAAACTGCTTACCAGGAGGGAACCTGAAAAACAATTATTTCAAAAGCAAAATAATGACGCTTTCTATTTGGTTATTTCATTACCAAACTTTTGCTAGCATTCTGCTGAACGTACATTCAGTCCTTAGTTTTAACCATACACCACTTACCATAATTCGTAAGTACAGTATATCTCAAGAAGTACAGTAATGGGAGTGAAAATTAACAGATATTCACCGACTGATTATCCACAATTAGAGGGCTTGATGAAGAAAGTGGTAGCGAGTACCATGCTGTCAAGAGGAATACTGATGTATTCAGACACTATTACATTTTGCTCAGATGAATCTTACATCTTTGAATGAAATCTTACATCTATACATTACAAATGAATATTACATCTTTTGGGTAAATGAAGGATTGCCGACCCATTCTACAAACGCTGGAAATTTTAGAAGTCTATTTAGAAGCCAGTTCACCAGTGTGAACTGACAATTCTGCTTCTAGGTCTGATAGGATGTGAAGGTTTTCATCAACCTCATTTTTTGGGGACGGATATTCGACATCATTTGTCTCTGGTAGTACAAATTTTTCATCCTCAGATTCCAAAGAGACATTGCACATGTGTGGTGCAGTGATATTTAAATTTAGCATCGGTAGTGTTGTCGAGTGCTCCCTGTGTGACGTGCTGCTTTTTTAAGAAGGTATGAAACCTTCTATTTACGGTTTTGTGCTACATGTTGTATTGCATATGTGGTATAAACATTCTTGTTCAACAATATCATACAATATATAATTAGTTTTATTTGAATACGTCATAGAGCACTACAAGGCGAGGTAAGGAGAGATTCTGCAGATGGAGATCTGAGGTCTACTGTTATATGATGGTTGCCTATAGTATTTTATAGGGCAGTAGCCAGGAGAGGTGTCAAGACGAGACACTGAGGGGAGGAAATTAACAGGGGAAAGCGCCAAGCCATTACGTCTATGTAGCACTTGGAAGGGGTCAGGATAAGGATTTGGGATGGGACAGGAAGAAAGAATGGTGCCTAACCACTTAGACGGTCGGGGATTGAACGCTGACCTGAATGAACCGAGACCGTCGCCCTACCATCCAGTCCAAAACAAGACTCACTAAGCATAGTGCTATTCATGTAGCCATAAATAGGTACAGTAATAACATATTGGTAATAATACACAGTGCACAATATTGTTTACTAATACTTATGTTGTACCTAACACTGTATGTATCTATACAATAATATATTTATAATGTTGTATAATGATACTAATGATATATCTTCTAGATAAGTAACAACCATTGTGAATATGTATCTCTCACTTACATTTTCTGACCAATGGTAAGGTTTTCATGAAAAAGCAAATCTATGTCAACATCAAAGTTACATGTCTCTATACACCACGTCATTCCACCAACTATCTGAAAGGAAAAGTAGAATATTTAAATTAGATATCACCATCATGTAGATTTTTTCTAAACATTCCAGTGACTATCTTTACTACATTTTGTTTAAACATATAATAGGAGATATTTTTTCAAGCACTTATAAAGATTGGGTATAAAGTAGTTTACTTTTTTAAAATTAATGTCTATTTCTACCAGCCTTATACAGAACCATTTAACTATTATTGGACCAAACATTACTATGAATAACATACAGTCCTCATATGGAAATGGTATCGTCTAAACACCCTTTATTTTCAAGTTCAGTATCAAGTATACACATTAACATACATTGGTTCTTGACCTCTGGTGTAATTTACCTCCACCGGCCCTCAATAATTCTGCTTTGACAAGATGAATCATGTAAAAAAAAATAGGTAGAGAATACATATGTATAATATTTTATGCACTTATTTACTGCCCAAAGTTAATTTGATTTACTTTTTTTTTTTAATATATATATACAAGAGTTCTTACATTCTTGTACAGCCACTAGTATGCGTAGCATTTCGGACAAGTTCTTAATCCTATGTTCTCTGGAATATGACCCCAGGAAAAATAGGTTAACAACCAAGTACCCATTTTATTGTCGAGTTAAACAGAGGCTACAGTTAAGTATTTGTGCCCAGTTAATCCTCCCCGGCCAGGATATGAAATCAGGAGAAAGCGCTCGCGAAACGCCAGGCGAGTGTCTTAACCACTACACGATGGGGGACGGCAAATTTGCATGTAATTTACAATTACATACAATAACCCCACATATCACCAATGACCCCATACTATTTATGTTCACTGCATCCCTCATAAATTGCAATATCTGTTCCTCTGAATAACCTTAGGAGCAATAACAACATTTCTGCCTCACAGATGTTTCTCTCATTACTCTCATACATGGAGTGTGATATACGCGTCATCATTTCATAATCAACATAATCCGCCTGTGCTCCTAAACCATCATACTATACAGGTTCACATTAAGCCAACTCAACTTCATGAAACCACACGTCTTGCCTAACCAACAGGCAAGAAGTGCCGCCCTTCAACAGAAGTCACCAAAACTATACAAGAAGTAAAGGAGGTATTATAGTCAGTAGTTTTAGTAGGCCTGGCAGGGCAGGTGAGCGTGCAGGTGAGCGCTCGGCGACACTAAATGTGTATACTCGTTTCAGTTTTCTCACCTTAATTCTCGTGCTACATCGCTCATTTTGGTATCACTGTGTTCACAATAGAATTCCCTACAGGTATATATACACATATAAGGTCCAAAAGCCAAGCTTGACTCCTCACAGCAAAGCCTAAATTCGGGAAAAGTTACCCGTGAGCGCACAAAATCGGTAAAATGTGCATACTCGTTTCAGGTTTCTAACCTTTATTCTCGTGCTACGTCGTTCGTTTTGGTATCAATGTGTTCGCAATTAAATTCCCTGCAGGTGTATATGCATATATTGTCCAAAAGCCCAGCGTGACTCCCTTAGCAAAGCCTAAAGTTACCCATGAACGAGCACCAATTATCACACCCGCAACCTAATGTGTATACTCGTTCAGTTTGATAACATCAATTTTCGTGTTACATTGCTCGTTTTGTATCAAATTGTTCGTAATATATTGGCTTGTATTTTAAAACTAGTCCCATAATAAGAGAGCAATAACTGGAATTTTAACATATTTTAATTTTGGACGCTCATCATCACAAAATTATTTATATCTTTCCAGTGTTCTGGCATAAAATTTCGTGTTACATCTTTAATTTTAGTATCAAATTGTCTGCAATGTAAAGGTGTGCATTTTAAAACTAGTCCCTTAATAATAGCACAATAAATAGAATTTTAACAAATATTTTAAAATTTTGACCAAAAACATATTTATAATCTTTCAAGTGTTCTGACATCAAGTTTTGTGTTACATCTTTCATGTTTATGTCAAATTGTGCGCACTCTAAAGGCGCTCATTTTGAAACTATGCAGAAGTCGATCGGATAGAAAATGAATTTTATACAAATATTTTTTTGTATTGGATGCAAGCAGTGTCCAAAGCTAGGACACAAGAGAAAAAAAGTGGACACGAGGGGTGTTCAAAGAGAGCGATAGTGTTAAATAATGATATGCCATTGAACTTGTATACCATAGTGAAAAAAGTAAGCTTCAGTTATTGCAAATAATAAGCTACCAACCTTGTCAAAGGGCGACAGCCCCTTGATACGAGCTCGGAAGTAGCCGGCAGCTACAAGAAGCTCAATAATCTCAGAAAGTTTAACTCCCTGGTCCTCATCCTCCCGGACATCCACCTAGCGGGTGCACGAGACCAATGTCCATGAAAGAGTGAATTCAGTGAACAGCTTTGAAACACAATTTTCATAATTTTCTTACTAATTATTTTCATTATATAATGAACCAGTAATGGGAACACGTCCTAAATAATTTAGGGATATATTTAAATCATACACAAGCATACTGTACATAGCTCATTTTCCAAGTGTTAAAACTTTACTTTGTATCAAGATGGATTATATTATGCTAGGTCCCATTAGATAGGGTTCAAATGGATAGGTTTTGTAATCAAAATCAATTAGTAAACTGCATTATGTACAGAAGAAGAACCATGTACAGTGCAGTGGGAAGGAATATGTACACTGTAGTAATAATAACAGACTATAGTCAGAGTACACTTATACAATAACACACAATAGTACTTAATTCTCTCACAAAGTACCCCAGGGGGCACCACCACCTGAAGTTGTCCAGTACCCCAGGGCACCACCACCTGAAGCTGTCAAATACCCCAGGGCACCACCACCTGAAGCTGTCAAATACCCCAGGGCATCACCACCTGAAGCTATCAAGTACCCCAGGGCACCACCACCTGAAGCTGTCAAATACCCCAGGGCATCACCACCTGATGCTGTCGAATACCCAAGGACACCACCACCTGAAGCTGTCCAGTACTCCAGACCACCACCACCTGAAGCTGTCAAGTACCCCAGGGGACCACCACCACCACCTGAAGCTGTCAAATACCCCAGGGGACCACCACCACCAGAAGCTGTTCAGCACCCCAGGGCACCACCACCTGAAGCTGTCCAGTACCCCCAGGGCACCACAACCACCACCTGAAGCTGTCCAGTACCCCAGGGCACCACCACCACCTGAAGCTGTCCAGTACCTCAGGGCATATCACCACCACCACCTGAAGCTGTCAAATACCCCAGGGCACCACCACCTGAAGCTGTCCAGTACCCCAGGGCATCACCACCACCACCTGAAGCTGTCCAGTACCCCAGGGCATATCACCACCCCCACCTGAAGCTGTCAAATACCCCAGGGCACCACCATCACCTGAAGCTGTCCAGTACCCCAGGACACCACCACCACCTGAAGCTGTCCAGTACCCCAGGGGACCACCACCACCTGAAGCTGTCCAGTACCCCAAGGCACCACCACCACCTGAAGCTGTCCAGTACCCCAGGACACCACCACCACCTGAAGCTGTCCAGTACCCCCAGGGCACCACCACCACCTGAAGCTGTCCAGTACCCCAGGTCACCACCACCACCTGAAGCTGTCCAGTACCCCAGGTCACCACCACCACCTGAAGCTGTCCAGTACCCCAGGGCACCACCACCACCTGAAGCTGTCCAGTACCCCAGGGCACCACCACCACCTAAAGCTGTCCAGTACCCCAGGGCACCACCACCACCTGAAGCTGTCCAGTACCCTAGGGCACCACCACCACCTGAAGCTGTCCAGTATCCCAGGACACCACCACCACCTGAAGCTGTCCAGTACCCTAGGGCACCACCACCACCTGAAGCTGTCCAGTATCCCAGGACACCACCACCACCTGAAGCTGTTCAGTATCCCAGGTCACCACCACCACCTGAAGCTGTCAAGTACCCCCAGGGCACCCAGGGCGCCCAGGACGCACCTGTCCTTCCCTGGCGCCGTGTGCCCGAGGCGGGTCTTCAGTGGAGAGCATCCTGGTGTTGCTCTCCCACCTGGCCGCACCACCTTCCCTGTGGTGGCTTGAGGTGGTCGTCAGGGGTGGTGCCTCCCCCCAGCTGGTGGTGTTGTTGTTGTGAGGAGGGGGGCGGGCCAGCTGGTGGGCCGCCGCCAGGAGCCGCCAGGAGCCCCCTTCAGCCCCTCACGGCTGGGGTTGCCAGTGAACCTTAACACTCAACTTGCCCTGCCATCTACCGGTTGAAAGCTAGACATCTGCCAACGTAAATAATAGTCAATAACGCTCGATTTTCTTGATTGAATATATATGTTTTGTTGTATATCATAATTCATAATTTAATAATTTATTGTGTCGGGGACAGACAGGCAGTATATATACATGTTAGGTGCATATAGAGACTCTCTACCATTCAGGATAAAGCCCCCCCCACAACAAATTAAGTCGGGCATATGTATCTATATTTACTGCTATAGGTGAACAGAGGCAGTAGGTGACAAGAAACGCGGCAAGCAAATTATGTCATGCCCGGGATTCAAATCTGGAATTCCCGATTGTGAAGCGAGAAATAACCCGACTGTACTCCCAGGTTAGTGGCTTTGCAAGAATGAAAGAACATCAATATTATGTACTCTTACAACCCAATGTGGTTTTTTTTGCATGTAAATAAATAACAAATAAATAAGTAAATTAAATAGTTAAAAAAGATTAACTTATTTAGCTAAGCTAAGAAAATCCTTGCATAAAAATTGAAGACATATTTTTAAGTAAAATTATAAGAATATATATAAGTTTAACGTATGAAGATGATAATTCCCAATAATTTGGTTAAAGTATCATAACCAGACCACACGCTAGAAGGTGAAGGGACGACGACGTTTCAGTCCGTCCTAGTCCATTCTCAAGTCGATGGACTTAAAAATAGTCCAGGACGGACCGAAACGTCGTCGTCCCTTCACCTTCTAGTGTGTGGTCTGGTCATTACATAAATGTTTTTCAACACGGGAGACATCTCCTGTCACGCAGGGTGCAGTCGCACCTCCACAGATCATCTATTTATACTGGTAATGGCTCAAAAGGGCCTCTTACTGGCTATTCATGCCCGTGCCACCTTTTGGGTGGCTTAATCTTTATCAATCAATGTTTTTCAAAACACATGATAAATAAAATATAGTAAACAATTTGATATATTTATGTACATAAGCTGCCTGTTCCTGATAAAACGCATTATATAGTGAACATATTTGATAAACAAATTCACAAGGGCCATAATAAGGAGTTGAACGATCCCAGACGCGTCGATTCGACAGTGCCACTACATGGTAAACCCTCATCACGGCCCTTATGGATTTGTTCATTTGATGCATCACGCTATTGTGATTTCTGTGTGTTTATCTGATTTATGACTTATTTGTGAAGTGACTTACTCAATATCTAACATATGCAAGGTTAGCAGAAAGGGTAATGTCTGAATTTGAACTTTGTTATTGTTTTGATTGCTGATTTATGTTTTTACGTTGCAGATTAACGCTACGACACAGTCTCAAATAATTATCCAGAAATGATAATATTACTGATATACATATTGTATTATATCATATGATGTAGAGCGGTGCATGTATAAATACTCCGCCACGGGTGTTGGGAACGTTCGTGTTGTGAACACACAACATGCGGTTCACACGATTGGTGGCGACTCAAACATGCACTTTTCAATCCAGTTTAATTATGGTATTACAAGAAACGTGCGTTATACCACTATCACAATATTGCTAACAAAAAGTTCCTCCGTGAGTTCTTCAAGTGGTCTCCATGAAATGGCAAAACACATTTCGCAATATATGAAGTCTCAGACGCAACAATGTCCCCACAATCAAGCAATGTGTGAAACAAGTGAGGTCGTCGTTATCATCCGGGACGTGAAGAGGCACGCGCGCGGGCTTCAACATGAAGGCATGATGAAAGCTGACCTTGGCTCTCTGAAAGACAAATGGCGCCCTTACTGTCTCTCCACAAACAAGCTTCGCTTGACACCCATCAGTGCTTAGACGGTGCTTGGGAAGGTAGGACGTAGCGCTCCTTCATCATGCGGTCCAGGACTCTTCTACTGCTCCTTTATGCGCTTGCGCGTCTGACTGGCCTCTGCGAAGCTGACCGCACTGACCCAAGTATGTTATAACCCCAGCACCGTCGCCTTGGCTTCACATAGTCTTGGGGGTGTTCTGTAGCACAGTTGTCTACGTTCTAGACTAACAATCGAGGGGCACTGATTCAGTTTCTCGAGCAAGCAGGAAAAAAAAACGGTTGGGTACGTTTTCTTTCACCTGCTGCGCCTTTCACCTAGCAGTAAAATATGTATCCGGGAGTAAGACAATTGTTGTGACTTGCATCCTGAAGAAGACAAGAATATGGGCCTAGGGAGGACCACGATAAGCCTAACTACAGGCTTCCTGTCCTCAACAACTGCCCCTTATGTGGTCAGCGCACCACAACTACCAATTATATTGCCAGGTGCGCCATAACCAGTTATTTGGTCAGGTACCCATATTAACATCACCTTGATAAAGTTGTTTCTGGGTCCATTAACCATTACGCTGATAATTAATTTATGGGTGTTTATACTGTAGAGTTTAGTAAATTTATCCTTCTAGACTTTCCTTATTAAGTGAACATGTTTGTAATTAACTTTCCTGTTCCTTCCAGAGTGTGAAGAGATTAAATGCCCCGAGTCGTGCACAGTTGTGATGGGAGACCGCGGATGTCCTCTATGTAAATGTCCAGAAAAACTGTGTCCTGAGCTCGTCGACTGTGATTCTCCCTGCACGGTCGAGTACGATGAAGATGGGTGTAAACAATGCAACTGCACTTCCAAGTGTCCGTCTATGGAGACGTGTAACGACACATGCGTCATCAGGAGAGTACCTGGAGGTTGTGACGAGTGCCAGTGTCCCCCGTGCATGGAAACGGAAATAGAATGTCAATTCCCGTGTTTCTCAAGGAAGGACGAAGCCGACTGTTATATATGTGACTGCCCGTTTCCCTGTCAACGACTGAACTGTGTACCTCCGTGTTCCTTTAAGTCCCTGAGTGGTATATGCGATATCTGTGAATGCCCCGAGTGTCCCGTGGTAGAAAAATGTGAATTTCCATGTGAGTTAAAGAAGGATGACTCCGGATGTGAAGTCTGCCAGTGCTCGTGTCCGGTGATAGACTGTGAACCGCCCTGCAAGCTGGAGCCCGGCGATGATGGATGTAATGTCTGTAACTGTTGTGTGCAAGTAGAGTGTAATCACCCTTGTGAAATTATGATAGGACCCAACGGTTGTGAGAAGTGCGTGTGCTCGGAGTGTCCCCCCGTTCATTGTGAGGCTGGCTGTACCCGACTCCTGGACGCCGACGGCTGCTTCTTCTGTGAATGTCCGCAATATTGCCCGGTGATGCTCTCGTGTGAAGCACCGTGTTGCGTTACAAAAGATGAATTCGACTGCGATGTGTGTGACTGCCCTCATTGTAAACCTTTAGACCACTGTCCATCATTATGTCGAATTGAATCAGGCATGGACGGCTGTGACGTGTGCGTATGCCCACAGTGCATGCCCCTGACGAACTGCCCGCCAGCCTGCCCTCTGGTGAAGGACTGCTATGGGTGCGCCGTGTGCGAGTGCCCACCGTGCGTCCGTGTAACTGATTGCCCTGCTGGGTGTTGTCTCAAAAAAGATATGTACGGATGTGACTATTGCGACTGTCCTGAATCTCTACCTGAGCCGGAACGAGTGTGTGAACTTATACTCGAGTGCCTAGAGCCTTGCTCTCTTATCCAGAGTTATGGCTCATGTGACTTCTGTTACTGTCCAACGTGCCCCGCATTTGACGCGTGTCCAGAATATTGCAATATACTTATGAACCAAGATGGCTGCGAAGTGTGTGATTGTCCTATTTGCAAACCATTGGTTTACTGTCCTCCAGAATGTTTAGTGATTCCAGACGAGAACCAATGTAATATATGTGACTGTCCTAATTGTGAGTCACCTCTTAATTGTCCACCAGAATGTGGAATTGTTAACGGCACGAATGGTTGCGATGTCTGTGACTGTAATGTTTGCCTGCCAGTCATTGACTGTCCTCCTGGGTGTGGGATAGTTGCAGGGATCGATGGTTGTGATTTCTGTGACTGTAATGTTTGTCTGCCAGTCATTGACTGTCCTCCTGGGTGTGGGATAGTTGCAGGGATCAATGGTTGTGATGTCTGTGACTGTAATGTCTGCCTGCCAGTCACTGACTGTCCTCCAGAGTGTGGGATAGTTGAAGGGATCGATGGTTGTGATTTCTGTGACTGTAATGTTTGCCAGCCAGTCACTGACTGTCCCCCAGAGTGTGGGATAGTTGAAGGGATCGATGGTTGTGATGTCTGTGACTGTAATGTCTGCCTGCCAGTTACTGACTGTCCCCCAGAGTGTGGGATAGTTGAAGGGATCGATGGTTGTGATTTCTGTGACTGTAATGTCTGCGTGCCAGTCATTGACTGTCCCCCAGAGTGTGGGATAGTTGAAGGGATCGATGGTTGTGATTTCTGTGACTGTAATGTTTGCCAGCCAGTCACTGACTGTCCCCCAGAGTGTGGGATAGTTGAAGGGATCGATGGTTGTGATGTCTGTGACTGTAATGTTTGTCTGCCAGTCATTGACTGTCCCCCAGAGTGTGGGATAGTTGAAGGGATCGATGGTTGTGATTTCTGTGACTGTAATGTTTGCCAGCCAGTCATTGACTGTCCTCCAGAGTGTGGGATAGTTGAAGGGATCGATGGTTGTGATGTCTGTGACTGTAATGTCTGCCTGCCAGTTACTGACTGTCCCCCAGAGTGTGGGATAGTTGAAGGGATCGATGGTTGTGATTTCTGTGACTGTAATGTCTGCGTGCCAGTCACTGACTGTCCTCCAGGGTGTGGGATAGTTGAAGGGGTCGATGGTTGTGATGTCTGTGACTGTAATGTCTGCCTGCCAGTCACTGACTGTCCCCCAGAGTGTGGGATAGTTGAAGGGATCGATGGTTGTGATTTCTGTGACTGTAATGTTTGCCTGCCAGTCACTGACTGTCCTCCAGGGTGTGGGATTGTTGAAGGGATCGATGGTTGTGATGTCTGTGATTGTAATGTCTGCCTGCCAGTCACTGACTGTCCCCCAGGGTGTGGGATAGTTGCAGGGATCAATGGTTGTGATATCTGTGACTGTAATGTCTGCCTGCCAGTCACTGACTGTCCCCCAGAGTGTGGGATAGTTGAAGGGATCGATGGTTGTGATTTCTGTGACTGTAATGTTTGCCTGCCAGTCACTGACTGTCCCCCAGGGTGTGGGATAGTTGCAGGGATCAATGGTTGTGATATCTGTGACTGTAATGTCTGCCTGCCAGTCACTGACTGTCCTCCAGAGTGTGGGATAGTTGAAGGGATCGATGGTTGTGATTTCTGTGACTGTAATGTCTGCCTGCCAGTCACTGACTGTCCTCCAGGGTGTGGGATAGTTGAAGGGGTCGATGGTTGTGATGTCTGTGACTGTAATGTCTGCCTGCCAGTCACTGACTGTCCCCCAGAGTGTGGGATAGTTGAAGGGATCGATGGTTGTGATTTCTGTGACTGTAATGTCTGCGTGCCAGTCACTGACTGTCCTCCAGGGTGTGGGATAGTTGAAGGGGTCGATGGTTGTGATGTCTGTGACTGTAATGTCTGCCTGCCAGTCACTGACTGTCCCCCAGAGTGTGGGATAGTTGAAGGGATCGATGGTTGTGATTTCTGTGACTGTAATGTCTGCGTGCCAGTCACTGACTGTCCTCCAGGGTGTGGGATAGTTGAAGGGGTCGATGGTTGTGATGTCTGTGACTGTAATGTCTGCGTGCCAGTCACTGACTGTCCCCCAGGGTGTGGGATAGTTGAAGGGATCGATGGTTGTGATTTCTGTGACTGTAATGTTTGCCTGCCAGTCACTGACTGTCCTCCAGGGTGTGGGATAGTTGAAGGGGACGATGGTTGTGATGTCTGTGACTGTAATGTCTGCCTGCCAGTCACTGACTGTCCCCCAGGGTGTGGGATAGTTGCAGGGATCAATGGTTGTGATGTCTGTGACTGTAATGTCTGCGTGCCAGTCATTGACTGTCCTCCAGGGTGTGGGATAGTTGAAGGGATCGATGGTTGTGATGTCTGTGACTGTAATGTCTGCCTGCCAGTCACTGACTGTCCCCCAGAGTGTGGGATAGTTGAAGGGATCGATGGTTGTGATTTCTGTGACTGTAATGTTTGCCAGCCAGTCATTGACTGTCCTCCAGAGTGTGGGATAGTTGCAGGGATCAATGGTTGTGAAGTCTGTGACTGTAATGTCTGCCTGCCAGTCACTGACTGTCCTCCAGAGTGTGGGATAGTTGAAGGGATCGATGGTTGTGATTTCTGTGACTGTAATGTTTGCCAGCCAGTCATTGACTGTCCTCCAGAGTGTGGGATAGTTGCAGGGATCAATGGTTGTGAAGTCTGTGACTGTAATGTTTGCCTGCCAGTCACTGACTGTCCTCCAGAGTGTGGGATAGTTGCAGGGATCAATGGTTGTGATGTCTGTGATTGCGACATTTGTACTCCTGTGGATAACTGCCCAACACACTGTCATATTATTAAGGATGAGAATAGGTGTGACTTTTGTAACTGTCCCAAGTGTAGGCAGATACTTAAATGTCCAAATAACTGTCTGTTACGGAAAGATAAACAGAACTGTGACACTTGTTTTTGTCCAAGATGTCCCAAAGTTGTTAATTGCTCCGATTCTTGTTTTATCACCAAAGACAACAAAGACTGTGAAATATGCCTGTGTCCCCGAGAAGACGAATAGTTACAAGGTGTACTTAACGTGAAAACAAATATAAACTGTGCAAACTTGGGGTTTACGCTAGAGACTTGTCTGTGTGTCATAAAAATCCACTATCCGAAAAATACAAATACGAATAAACGTAATATTTGAGTGTTTCATCTCCTGTGTTCTTCAGATCTATGGGTATTTTATCCCAGACCAGTGCATCATTGTTCTGTCTGTCTGTCTCTGTCTCTCTCTCTCTCTCTCTCTCTCTCTCTCTCTCTCTCTCTCTCTCTCTCTCTCTCTCTCTCTCTCTCTCTCTCTCTCTCTCTCTCTCTCTCTGTGAAAAATGCATATGATAAAATTTAACGTAAAGAAAATAGTTACATATTAGACAAAACAAAATATATAATTTTGTTTTCTGGCCATGTTACTTATATAACATAAGCACAATGAATAAAACAATATTTAATTCATACAATTGGTTGCATACACAAATGCTTCTGTATAAAAAAAGAGGGGATGAGTCACACACTATACGTTAAATAACCATTAAAATTATATATTACACTATACATAATATTGTATTATTACCCAAACCTGCACAACATACACTATATAAAAAGATATAAGAACAGAAAATCGCGGCCTGATATGGCGTCAAGCATTAGGCTTGCGCGTGAGGCAGCTAATTCAGTACGACGGCATATAGGGACATAAGGTGGGACCAGATTCACAAAGCAGTTACGTACGTACTTACAAATGTTTTCCCTCTTAGCATCTTCGTTGCGGCTACTCCGGTATTCAGGTAGGCATCTAAGTATCAAAATCTTAACGTAAGTACACGCCGTCACGCTAAAGTCGCTCTCGACCACTCGTAGCATTACGTAAACTGGCTATAACTCAATTTTTCTCTACTACACAACACGCAGGATCGATTTTATCGTAAACAAACATTTTAACATTTTCGCTGGCGAGTCTCATTCAAGGTTAGCTATATATGCTTAAAATATGTGGTAAATATGTCTATTTTTAATTTTTTATGATATTAGAATTAGTTTTATAATAGGAAAATATTATACCAGTAGTTATTAAGGAAATAAACACGGGTGAACATGAAATATGAGAGGTGATGATCCAGAGCTGGTGGAAGCATTTACTATCACCAAATGTCCCTGTTCACCTAGCAATAAGTATAACATAATGTACGTTTGTCATTGAAGTATTAGGCCTATAATTATGACTATATGGACTATTATGGCCCGTTAAAAAAGAGAGGGGAAAGCAGGGGTCCAAGACCTCTTCCTGTTACACAATTTGGCTGTGTAAAAATAAGTAATTATCAAAAGAAGGCACCAAGCCGGGAACGCTATATGTGACAGTAATGCAGTGAGGTGAGGCAGCTACTTATTTGCGGAATGTTTATTTTATTTACCATATAAGCTGAGGCAGCTTATTTTATTTGAATCAGCTGAGAATCAGCTGAATCTCAGCTGATTCCTCTACATTTAGCATGGAACAAATTTGTGTCCAAGACCTCTTCCTGTTACACAATTTGGCTGTGTGTAACAATAAGTAATTATCAAAATAAGGCTATGTATTATTAGCATTGTGTGTAACAATAAACTTAATTTTTTTTAACAGATAATGCACTTGTGACTAAAACAAATCCTATCAGCTGTAAAAATATTGATCCAGTTATTTAAATAAAAAAAATATAATGCAACAAATATTTATGGGTTGTTTAAACTATCATCTATACCCTATATCCAAAGAAGTGAAAAATTGAGACATAATGAACAATCTAATGAATGATACAAAAGAAATATGACTATTACATATCAACAAGAGATCTTAATGATCCATGGTTAACATGATTTAATAAGGATAATACTGGTAATAATACAAACTATAATATAAAACCTTTATTACTGATTTTTTTATTAAGAAGCTTAGGTATACACAGCAATGTTCTGCTACCCTATTCTATATGAAAGATTACACAATGTAGATAAAAAACTAGCAATAAGTTCATGTAATACTGTACTCCCATCTCACAGGATGCTTAGTCATACATGGAATCATGGGAAAAAATACCAGCCTCAATACAAAAAACAAATCAACTCTGACTAAACAACAACTTCACAATTTTCACAAGATGTAAACACTGAATCATGTAATATTATATTATAATTACTCTTACCAGTTTCTACAAGACTCCTCTCAAACAATGTATTTTTTAACAAGCTTAGGTATACACAGCAATGTGCTGCTTCCCTATTCTGTATGAAGGACCACACAGTGTAGATCAAAACCCAGCTACAAGCTCATCCAACATCCCCACCTCACAGGACGGCCAGCCATACATGGAATCAGAAGAGAACAAGAAATGTAAAACTGATCTATTAGCCCCCCACTAGCAAAATCTGGGTACAGCACAAGAATATTCCTGAGTGTATGAAGTAATTACAGAGCTCAAAGTACCTCATACCATTTGGTCTGAAGCTACTGATAACAGGGCAGTCACAGATATAGTGTTGGAGAGTATGTCCTCTCAAGTAAGACTGAAAACTGATGTTTTTTTCACCCAGAGGGTTATAAACCCACGGAACCGCCTACCCGCTGAAGCCGTAAATGCCAAAATCCAGCTAGAAAACATCATTAGGACAATTGGCGGGACTTTCAACACGCCTCCGGCTTTTGGTCCTCGTCGAGGCCACTAGATAGTTAATGGCCCTTGGGTAAATTTAGGTAAATATATACGTAAATAAATACCATCGCGTCTCAAATCTTGGGAGCGACAAGGAAAGCCACACACTATCTCTTAGAATTACGTAGGTAAACACAAAATGTAACATTTGTACATTTACTTGGCCTCTACCCTTCTGACCGAACTATTTGCCTTGCTCCTTGCACTGAAATGTGTACAAGTCTCCAAACTTGATACATTAATTATACAGTCTCCGTGGTGTAGTGGTAAGACACTCGCCTGGCGTTCCGCGAGCGCTATGTCATGGGTTCGTATCCTGGCCGGGGAGGATTTACTGGGCGCAATTCCTTAACTGCAGCCTCTGTTTAACGCAACAGTAAAATGTGTACTTGGATGAAAAAACGATTCTTCGCGGCAGGGGATCGTATTCCAGGGACCATAGGATTAAGGACTTGCCCGAAACGCTACGCGTACTAGTGGCTGTACAAGAATGTAACAACTCTTGTATATATCTCAAAAAAAAAATTGTAAGTGACTCTTTATCATCTATAAATGCTCTCAACTCTTTAAGACATAACTGTACCATGCTCGTGTCCGAAGTTAGACACAAATACAACAAAATTATTAAAGATGGTAACAGAGTCCATTTCATGTGGTCTCCATCTCATGTTGGCCTCCGAATGCATGATAGAGCTGATGAGTTAGCCAAAGAATCTGCCTTTAAAGGAGACGTTGAGTGTAACCTTGGATTGTCAATGAGCAATCTGAGAGCAGCAGTACACCGAGAACTTCAACAAGATCGTGTAGATCTGAGGCAAAGTGAAATTGACACCAGTAATTCCATTTATCATCATACTATCATGCAAGAGGAGCCACACATCTATGTATCATCCAATAAAATCAGCAGACTTCTAGATGTTACTACTGCTCGGCTTAGACTCGGTTACAAGTATCTCTGGGAATTCTCATTATCTGCCGATGTAGACCTGACCAAATGTAAACTGTGTCAACAAAATTATTCGCACACCCTCCGTCACTATGTGATGGAGTGCGAAAAGATACGTGAATTCAGAGACAATTCTATAGCCAATGTTCCAACGATGTGTAAATATTTCATTCGAAATGATCTGCTACCAGAAATCTTAGTCAAATATCCCCAGTTTGCTAACTGTAGGTAGTAACTAAGTGATTGTAACCTATCCACCGCTGCCCACTGGATGGGGGCGGTGTGCAGGACAAACATATCAATTGTGACACTAGCTCTCCACATATGTCAGTTGCTTAATTTAGAAACTGTACTTGTGATCGATCTCGAACCCATTGTTGATGTGACGACTTATATTGAATTTTGTAACTAGCTCATCAAGATTGTAACTTGCTTAGCTAAATGAATTGTGGGGTTCAGTCCCTGAGCCCATTATGTGCCTCTGTAACCCTTTCCACTACCGCCCACAAGATGGGTATGGGGTGCATAATAAATGAACTAAACTAAACTATAGTTTAAGCAATTTAACTTAATGTTCAAGATTAATATACAAAGCGAGTCATTACACAAGAATTTGAGAACCCTACGGCTGTCTGCCCCTGATAATCATACATGATGTTAGTAAACATGACTAAGTCACCTTCACGTTCACTCACTAAGGACTGCTCAAGTTGAATAGAAGAGGGGGGGGGGGGAGGTCTCTAGTTGACAGGCAGTCATCCCCCGTCCGGCCGACAGCCTATCTCGCCTGCTGTCTCCTGCCTTGCTCTGTTGTGCTGTGTCCTCTCCTCTCGAATCTACAGACCCCTGGGTATTTATTGGGAACCTAGTAGCAAACTCCGCCCATAAGTAGATAGCCCCAGGCCCTCTATCAAGCCACACCTTAAAAGGCGCCTTGTTTGATGAAACGACACTACCAACCGTCGGCTATTATCGGCTTAGCAGAAGCAAGGTGAAATCGCACGACCTGAACCTAGGTCGACTTGTGGTCATTACCACTTCTAGGTGTGACTTTCTTAATTACTAGGGTCAGACACCCTGATGCCTCATGACACCCTGATGTAAGAAAGTATAAAAATACATTGTAAAAACGTATAAAAAATACATTGTATAAGAAATTTGACAGGATTAGTAGGTACATTAAAGTAAATTTAAGGGTTATCCACAGTTACATTGTAGCATAATTTAAGGATTATTGCAAGATATAATGCAGTAAACTATGTGTTCAGTATAACAACCATGATATAAGATAACAGCTATAATTAATATATATTAAACCGTACCTTCTCCATCTTCAACACAGGAAATGTGGCTGGTCTTTGTGTATTATACATACATGCAAACATCATTACAGCTTTTCCCGCTTTCATACCACACACTGAGCTCCAATACACCGCTTAATTCTGGTGTATATATGTACTCAGTTTACTGTAGTCCTGGACTATATTCATTACTAGAGTAAACTTACTGGGGGTTGGTTGGTACACTATTGTCGTGGCCTTAATAATCCTCCAACGGTTGATAGGCTTATGTAACACCTGACTCAACCATAAGTAAACTATCTCAGTAAAACATTATTCGCACACCCTGCATCACTATGTGATGAAATGATAAACTAAATAATAATAAACAATTAAATGATAACACCACTAATATTAGGCCAATTTTCAAATGATTCAAAAATATATTTTTGAAAATCTGAGTGAAGTATACAAAGTTTGCCTACTCCAGACAGTACAAGCACATGGCTACACCCCCCCCCACCCAATGGATAGGTGGGGGATACAGGACAAGCAAATTAAAATTGAACACAACTATAATATGGGGGGTTTAGTTCCTGAGTCCGTTACAATAACCTTCCCGCCACCTTCTAAGGATGATG